ATGCATCACTGTGTAGAACAAACTTATCTGGTGTGGAGCCTGAATTCCACACTTGCAACATGAGAACACACTTTAGGGTGATAGTATCGAATAATAATATATTACACTGCACCGCCTCTATAAGGCGGAACATAAGATAAATTCTATTGGCATCGAGAGGTGATTACTTACTATTATATAAAAGGACGAGCTGGTCAACTAAGTAGAAACCATACCTTCCCCTATGATTTGTAGGTTCCCTTTCTCTATTGAACTGTTTCAAATGGTAAATGCCCCCCTTCATATTTAACTAGGTTTGCATGTATTATTTGCCCATCACAGTACTTATGAAATGCAAAATCAAAATCAACCCGTGTTTTGTAATATTATGCGTGTCATCGTTCCGTAAATTTGGTGGCTATTTCGATGTAAGGGTTGATTTTTTGAAGAGAAGGTACTAATATAATTTGACACTGCAGCTGGGCAACGATGCAGTCCAAAGGTTTCTCCGATACAAAGTAGGTAACATGCACCGAAAATAGTTTAAACAAAACAGACAAATTTCCGAGAGTCAGCGGGAATGTTTCCAACAAAATGAGGTTAAAATTTTTCGGACGAGATCAAACAGAAACTAAATATAAATGGTGGTAAAGTAGCACAATCATGTTAGCAAACTAGCATCGCACAATAGCAGAAATGGAGTTTCAAGAATAATAGCCAGACAAAAACAAAGATAAACAGTAAAAATTAGAACGGAAGCTGCCAAGTGAATATCGAAATAATGATACCCGGATCACTGGTGGAGGACAGCACGTCATCAAAGGAAGTCATAACAAAGGTTGAAGGACATTTCTACCTATCCACAACTTTGGGCAACAGGATTTCGGTTAATTGTACGATATTATAGTTATTAGGATACCTGCCTATTGTCTTCCGGAGGCAACTGGCGATATAAAACAAACGATGTACATTTCCGGAATGGTATGAAAAGACTAAAACACATTCGAAAATTATGTAGTTTCTCTGCTTCCAGGTTTCAGCGGTGATGTTGGTTTTATGTGGGTTACAATGCTACCTCAACAGGCATCCATCCCTTGTTCCCAAAATAATGTCAATCTGTAAATTGAGTTCGGTAATTCGTTGGGAATGAATCGAAGCTAGACCTCCCGCGTAGCTGTCAAGCATTCTACGTTTATATCACAGGCTTCATATTATATGCTAATAGTGAGCCCAACGTAACAAGCAGTGTGTTCAGGTGTGCACAAAAGATCACAAAATCGACACCTACTATTTGGAATTGGGTGTTAATTCATAAGTAGTACACTGCTTATTACTATAGTTTAATAACTCCATTTGGTGTTACCACAAGATGATAAAAATAAAAATCGGACTTGTTCAAAAAAGCCGGAAGTACGTACAACGTGAATGACTATCAAATATAACAACGAAGAATAATTCGCTCTTGTTGATTAAGAGGTTTTTTTGAGTTACCTCAATTGAAAATACAGCTTTCAATTTGCTCCTTTATTATTATGTGCATTTTTTCCAGTATATAACCAGCTTCTTATGTAGAATAAGTGGAATAATAAAGGTGACCTAAGGAAAAGATAGAGTGAGAGAAGGCAGAATAGGTCGTGGGGATTTAGTTTGTACGCTTACCATTGACAGTGTGGTTTTAAGTTTTATGAGGATAAGCCATTGAGACACAAACCTTGCATTTCTGCATGATTGTCTAGCTTCCGCTTAAAAATCTCCAGAAATGGCGCTGTAGTCACGGCCGCCGGTAAAGCGTTCCAGAGACGGCAAACACGAAGCGAAAAGAAATGTGATCGCACTCGAGTCTTTGGTCTCTGGTGTGCTATCCTTAGCGGGTTACCTCGTGGAAGCCTATAATCACTTAATGGCAGGATGCTTTTATTTGGGTGGGCCTGGTCATTTAGGATCTGGTAGACGGTGATGAGGTCTCCCCTGTGCCTACGGTAACTAAGTGTGAAAAGACCTAATTTCTTTAGTCTTTCCTCATATGATTTGTTGCGGAGGCCGATCACCCATTTTGTCGCTCGTCTCTGGACACTTTCTAGAATGTTAGCATCCCTTTTGAGTAGCGGAGGTGCAATGATATTATGCACCTCAAGGTGTGGCCTCACATATGCCTTATATAACCTTAAGAACAGTTCGGGAGTGAGAGCTCCCAGCTGCCTATGCATAAAGTGTAAGTTGCGTAGGCTTTGGCGACGTCCCTCGAGTAATTTCCACTGGTGTCTAGCTTTTCTGTTAGAATAAGACCTAGATCGCACTCTGATGGAACACAACTCAAGTTCTGGCCACCAAGGGTGTAATTTACACTCTGTGACCTGCCGGAATGAAGTTGCACTACTTTGCACTTCTTTAGGTTGAAAGGCATTCCGTTAGCCAGAGCCCAGTTTCCCAGAGTTTGCAGGTCAGCCTGCAATCTATCTGAGTCTTCCGATGAGTTTATTGCTCTCCAAATCTTTACGTCGTCAGCGTAAAGAAGCGCAGAGCAGTTTAGTTGGGGGGCAGGTCGTTGATAAAAATCAAAAACATCAACGGCCCTAGGATAGAACCCTGAGGAACCCCTGATGCCGAGGTGTGCCAGGATGATCGGATGCGGTTGACTTTGGTGCAGAATTCTCTCTCGCCTAAGTAATCTTTCAGCCATGCGAGAAGTGCTCCAGAAACACCCGCCTTGCTTATTTTGTGAAGGAGCAGACCATGGTGAACTGTGTCGAATGCTTTCGCAAAGTCGAGAAAGATCACGTGGGCTGGTACCTTTTTGTCCCAGGATAGTGTCCAATCGTTCCAAGCTAGTAGAAGATTCGTCACGCAGGATCTTCCCCTCCTGAAACCGTGCTGTGCTTCGTGAAGAAGGTTAGTCCCATCGAAGTATTTTCTCATGTGGTCGTCAATGAGACTTTCCAATATCTTCGATATCACTGGAAGTAGAGCAACTGGTCTGTAACTGGTCGCATTCTGCCGGTCACCACCCTTGAAGATAGGGGATAGGATTGCTCGTTTCCATTCACATGGAAGTTTCCCTACATCAAGGGAGTGTTGGAACAGATCACTTAGGGGTTGGCAGAGACTTTCTGAACACTGCTTCAGGACAGATGGTCTGATGTCATCACAACCTGAGACTTTCCCGAAGCCAACCTTCCCAATTTTGCAAGTACCATAGCCGGGGTAATTTGAAATGTACCCAGCAGGTTTTCGCGTGTTGGTTTTGCGATGTAATCTGGATGTTCTGGGGGGTAATATCCTCGTTACTGTTAGTTGCCTGTGAAAGGCTAGGCTGAATGTCTCTGCCATTTCAAGACTAGTAAGAGATTTCCCATCAGAACCCACTAGATTGCATGCTCCCTGGTTGGTCGGTTTTCTTTCGGACATAAACCTGTATAGGCTTTTGGGGTTCACGAGAAGCTTATTGGCGAGGTCTCCCTGAAATGTCCTTCTATCGCTCCGGACTCGTATGTTACATCGATTCCTGAGTTCAAGGTACACTTCATGTTCGGGTTGACTCTTCGATCGTCGCCACGCAAACCAGGCTTTTCGCTTCGCCTGCAGAAGGCGTTGTGTCCCCTTTTAGCCATGATCGTTGCTTCCTAGCTTTTGGTGTGACTAAAGGAACAGTGTCTGAGACCGCCTGGTGAATGATCTCCTTTACCACTCTCCAGTGTTCTTCTACTGTTAGCTCTGTCCATTTTTTAGGCCAATTTGCTTCAGACAGAAGTCTTCGCATTTTGGTGTAGTTGGCTTTGTTATAACACAGATAGGGCTGTGTATTGTCCCACTGTAAGCGCTCGCGGAGGACTATGTCGAATACTATGACCGCGTGGTCACTACTACCTATGGGAGTCGTGATCTGAACGTTTTCCACTAGTAGCTGGTCACTAGTGAGCACGTAATCCAGTCTAGAAGACTTCCCATCAGGGCCCCATCTAGTATCCATCTTGACATTTTCAGTGAATCCAGCCTTCCTGATGGTATGCAGCAGATTTCGATCAAATCTATCATGGGCTTTTCCCGACACCAAGTTAAGAGATGGGGCATTGAAGTCACCAGCTATGACAATTTGATCATAACCCATGTCTTGAGTTGCTGAGATTGTATTTAGCAGTACCTGGTTGTGGTCTGCTCCACATGAAGGTGATCGATAAATGCTGCCCACTAGATATTTGCAGTACCCAACGGTGAAGTGGCACCATATGGAGTCAGGGAGCTCTGTGAGGGGAGGGTCCATCGCGTGAACACATCTGAGCTGTTTGTCGACGTATATGGCGACTCCACCTCCTTCTTTCAGGTCCCTATCTCGCCTGACTAGGACCATATCATTTATACTGACTTCGCTGTCTGCCACCGTAGGGGTTAGCCAGGTTTCCGTCAGTATTATGATTTTGGAGTTCAGTTGTGATTGTAGGTGTCTAAGTTCAGCTATTTTGCCTCTTAGCCCTCTCACATTACTTACAGGCAACTGGTAGTCAGTCTCACCACTTCCCCGTATTGGGGGGTAGTTGACTTGATATTGGCTATCGGTTGAGGAGTTATCCTACGAACTAGTTGGCCGATTCCCCAGGAACCGGCCTGTTGGCGTTTTTTTCTTCTAGTTCAGTCGGAGCACTCGGATGACACTGGCTATCATCGTCCGTGCTGCACCGCTGTAGTGTGACTAGGGGTTGAGGATTTTTTTAACTACGCTTTGTTCTCTCCTTTGAGTGCGAGGCCGGCTCTCGCAGCAGCGAATGTGTTTGCTGATCTTGCGCTTGGTCTCGTACCATCTATGGAGACAGTCTATTTGACCTTTTGTTAAGTATTACTGACTCCGATGCTACAGGGATTAGTTAAAAGCAGATCCATGAGATAAAATTTCTTCTGTGAGATGATATAATTTCTACAACTGCTCAAAGTAATGAAAAGGAAACTTTGGTTGCAATTGCTGCATTTCTCAGGGTCGGTTATAGGTTCCGCGCGCGTCTCTAATTTGGTGGGACAGTTAACGGAAACTCATGGCCTATCCAACAGATAATCAACTGTTGGCTAGAATAGAAGGTAACTAATTATTACTATTTGACTTAAGTGTTATATAAGAAATTCTAAATGGGGCAGATCTGTCCCAGGTTACATCAAAAAAGGTCAGGTTGGAACTAGAAGCTCATTTCAATATTGATTTATCCTCTGAAAAGCCCAAGTTAGAGACTATGATTCTGTCGACACTTGAGAAACTACAGTCTCTCAACACTCAAAGTAAGAATGGTGGTAGACGGAGTAGTAGTCCTGTAAGTACCGCTGTCCAAATTTTTAGTCATTTGTTAAACAGGAAAAAGATGAATCTACGGATTCTGATACAAGTTCCCAAAGTGAGATTTTAGAACCTGTAAGAAAGAAGAAGAAGAAAAGAGCATCAGATGATGAGGATTATGCCCGGAGTTTGCACGCGGAAGCTAATGGTATGAGAAGAAGGAAAAGCACTTCGAGTAAGAGAAAAAAATTCTTATGTTTGTAGACGTCAAACAAAGGTCCCAAAAAGAAAGCGGTCGCAAGTCGACAGGATTCACGCGTCCTGTACGGTTATCTGATGAGTTGGCTGCGTATATTGGTGAGAAGGAGCTTCCTCGTTCAGATCTAGTGAAGAGATTTTGGGCAATTGCAAAGGAGCAGAACTTATTTGTAAGATTCATATTTTCGTTAATAACTTGAATAGGATCCCAAAAACAAACAGTTCGTTGTTTGTAATGAAGATTGGCAGAGACTATTCAACCAGAAACGTTTTCGCATGTTCGGAATTACGAAGCATTTAAATAAGCATATAATTGAGTAGTCTAAAAATTCCATTATTAGAGAAATTTGTCATGTTCCTTCACCATGTAAATGTGTTCATATTCCGCTTTTTATCCACTCCATTTCAAATAAATTTGTTCTTTAATATATTAGATGACTTATTACATTGCTTTAGTGGATTTCCGTTTCCATCTGATTAATTTTTACTGTAACGTATTCTGACTACTTTTACAGAAATGTGAGACATTTCCTTAGTTGAAACAAGTTATCATGTTGTACTATCATGCGACCAGTAGGTAGTGAGACGTAGAAACAATCAGAAAATGTGAAATGGTGAGGTTTTAAATAATATGGGTTTCCCTTCAATCGTGTTAAGGGAGCAACAAGGTAATAGTTGTGGAGTAATTTTAGGTGAGAAAGGAAGGCAAATCAGAGACATTCATTTACCGAGTTTTCTTAAACTTGTGCTCTGATAGACTTGTTTACCAACTGGATATTAAGTGTTTGAAATATAGTCATAATCACATTTTATATTTCCAGTAATATAAGGGACTGGACTAATCACTGAGAAATACTGATGTGACTGAATTCCGTCGACATGGTTACATAAATCTGCACATCGATAAAGTTGCTTTCAGGTGTATGAATGATCAGCTAACCTAGCACACTATATTGCGTAATCCCTCATATCACTGCTAGTTTTCAGTTGCTTGCTGCCTAAATGAGTCCTGAATATTGACAGGTACCTCAGCCTACTAGGAGAACATTACATTGTTGTGAATTTTAAATTTCGCAATAAATATGGTGAAATTTTAATTCTTCTTTACTTTTATCCCTTCATAAATATTATGGGGAGCTGGAATTTTCCAATATTTCTATTAGTGATGACCCCATCATCCAGCTATAGGCCAATGAGATCATTGCACATATCCAGCCACGTCTTATTAATTTCTACAAGTTTTCCATTTCTCAGTATATTCGAAAGACAGTTTGGCAGGTGAACATTATCTATGAATTTCACTAGTGTAATGATACTGAGTGAAACGATCAGTTCAACTTTGGCAGTTGAAGCAAGGTCTGGAAAAGAGAAGGTAGTGTAGAAAGACATGTGGTGTCAGAATAATCATGTATTTACCGGTTCATTATGCTTAACCGGTTGCAGCGTTTCCTGATTATTAACATTTCAGAAAGAAATTAATCGTTTTACTTTATTTCGAATGACTTTGATTAACATTTCTGACACACTGAGGAACTATCAATTAACTATAAGCGTACTACTCACCTTTCCGGAAACTGCATACCGATAAACTGAGGTATTATCCTCTATGTGTGTTTCATCTGTAGTCAGATATTTCTAAAAGAGGTTTGTTGTAAAAATTGTGAACGGTAGACATAGTATATGTGTATCTTTTTTGATGTGGTTTTGTTCTCTGAGCTGAAGATGTCACCCAGTAAGGTGATGAAAGCTTCGCAAACTAACTATCCAGCTCAGAGAACAAAACCACATCAAAATTATCCACCTGAGCTACAAATCTTCTCTATCATATCTATATGTGTATCTGTTTGTAAATAATCACGTATATTGATTAAAAAGTCACAGTTATATTTAGACAGACCAAAATACTTCCGGTTAGGTGACCCGAACTGATAATATTTCAACCTTATTCCTATTCTGTCATGTCTTGAAATATACATTCTCGTCTATACAAGGTTCTATCACATCTTACCTTCGTAGCACCTCAGTCAGGGTCCCCGCATAGCAGGAGACCGTTTACATGGGTGAGAAAGCGCAAAAGTGACCAATAAATCCTAATTAGTGTATGTGTGGGACCTGCACATTGTGATAGTTGGCGATTTCGTACTAGTTTCTTCATTTGACATATCACACAGTAAAACGGTATTATTCACTGGGTGACGTTTCGAACATTATTTTTCATAGTCATATGAATGATAACTTCGAAACATCAGTTTTATAGTTTTCCTTATCCCTTCCCATTCGTCTTAGGACTAGTAAAATTTGGAATTATTGTAGGGTATTAGATTACTTCGTTAAATGGGTTCTACAGGATCCTTTGATCGATATAGTTTGTTCCTAAGGTGCTTGGTGAGTTTGAGTGCCACTTTTATTCCTGCATTGTTAAGAATTCTACTAAAAACAAGCAACAAAGTTTAATAAAGCATTATTAATATGACTTAATATTACTCAGTTCGCGATTCTTGATATATTTAAGTAACTAATAACTAATTGTTTACCTAAGTGATATAATTAAAAAGTAATCCATCCTATCTTAACTTAAATCTCACACTCCTTCCCCCTTATCAATGTGAACATGACCTGAAAAACATTCACAAGTGTCTCTTTGCATGATTGATTCAATGTAGATTATAAACAAAATAATCGAGCAAAGAATATCCTTTTCGATAATTTCCTCTTCTGGCTCTACAATTATATATATATATATATATATATAGCTGTTCTATCTCATCTTGTGGATACAGAACACAAGATTGATATCAACGAGGCTTTCATAGTCATTTACTCATACCAACAAATCTTAACTTTACCTTAAGAGTTCGCCTCCTACACTATATTGCTGAGGCCGTTGAGATCCACATTAAGAAGACTAATTTATTTGTCCAAAAGAAGTTAGACATTATCCTTACCTTAGCAATCTAGGTCCGAATGATCTCCAGCTTTTTGTAGAAATTTCGTTAATTTTAGTTGATATTCTGTTTGCTAATATATTTTTATTATTATTATTGTTTAAGCATCTTTAATGAACTGTAATTCCATTGATCTTACTTTACAAATCGATATTATCTAAACAAAAATACTAATTTTGTTATTGACTACTATTCTAGGATATTCTCTCTCTCTCTCTCTCTCTCTCTCTCTATATATATATATATATATATATATATATATATATATATATATATATATATATATATATATATATAATTTTAGAGTCAGAAGAGGAGATTATCGAGAATGATATTCTTTGCTCAATTAATTTGTTTTTTTTTTATAAATGCCTGAATAAATATTTTCGCTATACCTACGTAGTTTATTTGCTTATCAATTTTATATCTCCCAATGTATTTCCAATATATATATATATATATATCCCTGTATGTAGAGTTTTCAGATGAAGAGTTCTGCCGAAATTTGATAAATTCATTAAATCCTGCTTTGTAAACCTTCGTTGCTTGTTTCGAATTCCTATCGGGAAATGTGTCCAATTCTACTTGAGGTTTCTGAGGCTCCCTGATTAGTTTATCGGGGTAATTACTGAGCTTTAAAGCTTCTCTTATAAGCCTGATACTATTTAGTTTTTCCTCCCTATTACTGAAACACTTCACCAATCCCGTTTTTTTGGCATAGGGCGGGATGAAACGAAATCTAAATATCGGTTTGAATGTGTGGGTTTCCTGTAAATACTAGTGTTTGACTTCCCGTCCGCTTCCCTTTTTTGCTACAATGTAACATTAGACGCTCCTCCTTCGAACTCTCCAATTCATAAGTGATTTGAATTACAACTTCCTTTGAGTTTATGTGGTCCGAAAATCTGTTTATATCTTGTAGTTTCAGTACGGTAAATGTTTCATCTACATATTTCCACCATACTTTGACTATGCAGCTGAAAGTTTGAATTGCTAAGATCCCTCACATATCCATGAATATATCTGTCACTATTCGGGGTATTGGCGGTCCCACGGCAACTCCCTCAGTTTGTTTGTATATTTCCCTTTGAATTTAAAAATATTGTAGAAATTAGGTAATAGCTCCACTCCTAGCATGATGCCTCCTAGTAGCATTTTAGTTCAAGTTCGAACTCGTTTCTAACCGCGTCTATAGCCATGTTTACCGGTTTTCGCGTATATAAACTGACGATGTCGTAACTAACCATTTTTTCGTCACTATCTTATTTTAAATTATCTAATCTATTTTTTAGTTCATAGAAATTCGTGAGTGTAGATCTTGAGTGACTTCTAAATGGATTTAGTACCTTAGCTAAATATTTAGGCAGTTCATAAGGAGGATTTCTAAAATCAACTATAGGTCAGATGGAATATCCGGATTAGTGACTTTAACAACACCATACGTCCTACTGGTATTATTCGTTTTCGGCATAAAATTAAACCATTTAGACTCACGTAGAAACAACTTCACTCAGCGAAAGGACATTTTAATGCTTTGCATTCATGTCTTAAACAGCAGCACGACTCTATTCTCATCACAAAGTAAGATATCCAACCAACCTTTCGGATAGGACCTAAAGTAGTACTAGTGCCAGCCAGTACAGCTTATTGTGTCATTGCGACATGCAGATCCAATCACAACAAAAGATCACTGCTATCGAATAGGTCTACTCAACCTACATTATATCCTCTTGGTCTATTTTTCTTGTTTACAGAAGTGAATCAAACACCTAAAGAAGTTGTTTTTAATCCACGCAACATAATATGTTTTTGGTTCATTGTTTCTTCGCTGTTTCATTTTTAAACCAACTACCCCTATAAAAATTATCCTAGACAGCAGCTTCTTTAAGATGATAACGTATCTAAAAAGGCCTCAATTGTTTGCACATGAATACCTAGCGACAATCGTGCAGCATGTAACCAGAATAATGAATAGATTTATGCGGTGGAATGAAATGACAGAAATGAACATGTTATGTCGACTTTTATGTATGGAAATGAATTATGTATTAGGCTGTGGTGTAACGAATCTATCTGTTACATCATGAGATCGCATTGCAAATTATTGTGAAAATCTATTTATACTGCTCTTTGTAAACCACAAAACTAGGCTAGACTTACTGCACCTTATAAAACAACATGTCAGTTCCAAAGCTGGGAAGTCACGAACATCAAAAGTGTCTTATTTTGAAGAAGCTTGCATGATTAAATGTAGGAAATATTTTGTTCTCTAAGAAATAAAAGAGAGAACTTTTGTTAGAAATGTTGAAAGCTGTCAGATATGGGGTACAAACACAAGGTAATATTTATTGGTCAGGTTGATGTAAGAACAGATTGACAATTAAGCCAAAAACTTCTTCAATGCAGAGAAAACGTCTGATATAATACTGATCAGATGTGTGGTCAACAATTTGTGTTTTAGCAGCAAGATAGGCGGGGTAAAAGAATGTTACAGTTTTGCCACAGAATATGAAAATTCACCTGGTGATGAGTGGCAGTAAATTCTCAGAAGAATGTTTATTGAAGAAAAGAACAGAAGTCTCATGCAGTAATAAATGCTAGAGGATAATGTTCGAAGGTGATGAATGATAAAGTTTATGAATACTCAAAAACTTGTTCGCTTGATCATCTTCATCAAAGCAAGAAGAACAAACTTCGCAGTATAAATTGTGCACATTTCATTTCGAGGTTTTTCTTCAACTTCAGACAGCCTAAAATATACATAGAATTAACAAAATAAGGAAATACATTGTTTTTATTCTATTGGTAGAAGTTTGTCATGAAGGTCGCAGTTTAGGGAGATAACAATAGGTGAACTTTAATGGCACAATCAGTCACAAATAACACAAAAAGAAAGTGGTTATGTATCGTAAGTTTGGGAGAATATTCGATAAGTTTTGTTATTTGACTTAATGACATAAAAACACCAATGGACCAGAAACATACAGGTAGAAAAGGATTACGCACTACTTTACGAGTAAGCATTTGGAGGTGATTCGAAATCAGTTATGTGAGTTAAGATAAATGGGTCAGAAAAAAACCATAGTAACATTAATAATGCGGACAATTAAAGAAAACATAATTATGTAATAAGTGGGAAAACTTATTGTCAGAGTAATCACTGTTTCTCTTCACATACACAGAATAGGTTTCGGCTGCTTGATGGCAAGAGATTCAGCTAATCGAAGTAAAGTTGGGTTACTTTCTTAGTTGATAATGGTAAATGTCCTGATTTGATTAGATGTCAACAAATGGCGCTGGTAAGGAAATACGGATCTTTAAGTTTCAGGTCTTTTAAACATTTGTTTGAAGAAGCGAATGGATATCCACCTTTCTATCCTCCCAACGCACTTCATCTAGCAGGCACATGTGAATTTGTAAACACATTTGGAGGTGATTTCAGCTAGGCAAATGTCCACTTTTGATTGATAAAGTGCACGACTAGTTCTGTCAACACAGCAGCAAGTTTAGTTACCGGATAAGTTGTAGTAAGGGCAACTCTTAGTCCCTTGTTTATACAGTAGGGCATGTCATATTTAAAGGTAAGCTGGATGAGTATAAGATTCTTCTGTACTGTAACAGCTCTCTTTTCATTACTGTTTTCCTTCACAAGCAATCTTATGAATTTATTTGTAAACCCTTTTTCAGACAAGTGCTTTTCAAAGAAGTCCAATACTTCATGGAATTTATCCTCACTTCAAAGTTTACGGTCTATGTCAAACAGAGTTCTGAACAGTTCTTGTTTGTATTTTATTGGTACAGAAACTAAAACAATCTAAATACTGTCCTGTCCAGGTATCCTTGGGTTATATTCCTCTCTCGACTATGCCATCATTTCGTCTTCCCATAGGTAGATCCAGAAAGTGAACTTCCTTTTCACGTTCATGTTCCATTGTGAAGTTTATGTTTCAATGGACATTATTGAAGCTATGAAACAGTCTGCGAGTATGGTCGATCTCCTCACAGATCACGAACGATTCATCCACATACCTTGTATAAAAACTAGTTCCTTCAAGTTTAGTTCTAAATTTCCAAAGAATACATCAAGAATAGATCCCAAAGGACTTCCCGTGTCTACTCGATCATTCTGGCGATAAAGTTCGTTATTGATATGGAATTGTACGTCTTTTGTGCATATCGATACCAACTTTCTCATGTTTCCACTTGGTAAAGGAAGCGATTTAGATTGTTTGCAAATAGACTCAATTGTCTCTCCATGTGGGGCATTGGTTAACAAGGAGAATATGTTAAAAGACCCCAAGAGTTTATTGGAAATGTGCGGACCACTCAATTTCTCAACGAATTCAAAAGTATCCTTAAGTCTATGCACATTTAAACTGTTCTAGCGTCTCTGTTAGCCAATAGGCTAGTTTATGGCACTGTGAGTTTATCATCGACAGTATTGGTCTTGTGGCGATATTAGTTGTGTGCAGTTTTGGTAAACCAGACATAGAAAGTAACTGTAGTCCTTTTGTTCGTAGATTATTTAATTCGCATTTTCAATCAACCCTTTCTTCACCAGAGCACGCGTTTTTCTGTGGTTAGAGTCTTGTCTTTCTTCGAAGAGTCAGATACACACACTGATGAATCATTCAGTATGATAAGAATCTTGTTTAAGTAATATCTATAATAAAGACTCCAGATCCTTTATCAGGTCGTTAAGAATTACCAGGGAAACCTTGATTCAACCATTCTCTTAATAAAGACTTTCGCGAAGCTTTCTCAAACTTTTGATTAGGATATCTTGGGTGAAATTGTTAAACTTTATTCTGTACACAATATTCAAGTTATCGGTCAAATCGTCCAATTCGGTAATATCTGATTTTAGAGATAAAAAAACTTGTTTGTCGATTCACTATGAGACTGTTGCACGTCGAAGGTTCTTACGATTCCGTGGAAGCTTACTTGATCGAATAAATCCACAACAATAGGCGAGGGAAGCAATCATTTTGCAAACAACCTTTATAGGACTTGAACCTGGATACTTCATGTGCTGTTCTGCAAAGTAAGGTCACCAACTGATTCAGCGACTTGATGGATTCATCAGGAAACTCATACAGCTCTTTGATCATCTTTATCAAAGCAAGAAGAACAAACTTCGTAGTATAAAATCTACTTATTATGTTTCTTGGGCTTCTCTTCAACTGCAGATAGCCTAAAATAAACATAATATTAACAAAACTAGAATATCGCTCGCAGGCAATATGCGGTAGATGAACTGCCAGAAGATCTTAGAACGCCTTTTATGGAATACGTTACTCAGGTTGGTGAACGAAGAGCACAGAAGAAGCAGATAAAGCTTATAAAAGGAAGGCAGAGGCTGGTAAATTTCCAGCAGATCCTTAAAAGTACGTCTACAACTTTAGTAGTGTTGAATTAAATAAGGTGCAAATTGAAGTACTTACCCTTGGCCTTCGATTTTGTGATAGACCAAAACGAGTTAATCACTTAGATACTGATATTGAATTTGAAAACCTATTTAGTCAAACAAGAGATCTAGTTCCATCATCCACCTTACTAAAAGTCTCCGCAAGGACCGTGAACAGAGGTGGCTGACAAAGGCAAAAGAGATGGAAAAAGCATCGGCGATAGGCAACACTAGGCAACTCTTTAGACTCATCAGGGAAACGGGTGGGAGAAGGCAAATCATAAGTGAGACTATTTCTGAGAAAAATGGCTCCTTAATTAGCTCTCAGGATAGACGCCTTGAACGCTGGAAAGAACACTTTGAGGGACAATTTAACTTGCCTACAGCCACACTGAACCTCCCCGACATCCAGCACACACCCGAATGGGATATAGACACTGGTCCGCCGTCTGTAAGTGAGGTCACAAAAGCTATCAGTAATTTGAAACGAGGCAAAGCGGCAGGACCCGACGGAATTATTCCGGAGGTGTTTAAATATGGGGGTGACATACTAGTTTGTAGATTAACTGAGGTACTAGGCAAAGTCTGGGAATCAGAGACAGTGCCATCAGACTGGGGTAAGTCACTTATTATACCGATATTCAAGAAGGGAAACAAGTCCTCGTGTGATAATCATAGGGGGATCAGCCTAACGAACATAGTCTCTAAAATCCTAGGCTCAGTAATCATGCATAGACTAAGCAGAACTCGGGAGGAACAGACAAGGGAAAATCAAGCAGGCTTTAGACCAGGTAGAGGGTGCATAGATCATATCTTCACTCTTCGACAGATTCTAGAACATAGACACACTTTTCGGCGTCCAACAATTGTCATATTTCTTGACTTGAAGGCGGCCTTCGACTCCGTGGATCGAAAGGTACTATGGCAATGTCTGACTGTGAAGGGAGTGCCAAGAAAGTACATTGCACTAATCAAGGCACTCTATTCAAACTCACGTAGTCGTGTAAGGGCTTATGGGGAATTGTCATCTGAATTGGTAACAACCAGTGGTGTCCGACAGGGATGTCCACTTTCCCCATTTCTGTTTAACTTCATCATAGATATGCTAATGGAAGTATCCTTAACTGAACGTAATGACTTAGGAATCGACTTGTTACCAGGGAATAGTCTTATGGACTTAGAATATGCAGATGACATAGTCCTGTTAGGGGAGGATGCTGACAAAATGCAGAGTCTTCTGAACACCTTGAGCAGCAATCTTCGTATGTTTGGCATGCGATTCGCCCCTGCAAAATGTAAGATGCTGCTACAGGACTGGATCACGTCAACTCCTAACTTAGTGATAGGGAGTGAAGTGATAGAACATGTTGACCACTTCACCTATTTGGGAAGTTGTATTAGCACCAACGGACTGATTGGCGATGAAATCTCAGCACGGATCCGAAAAGCTCGAGCTGCTTTCGCTGACTTACACCATCTCTGGCGTAGGCGTGACATCCGGTTATCAACCAAGGGACGTGTGTACTGCTCAGAAGTTCGCTCCGTCCTTCTCTATGGCTCTGAAACATGGCCAATACGAGTTGAAGACATGAAAAGGTTGACTGCTTTCGATCATAGATGTCTGCGATCTCTGTCTCACGTTAGGTGGTTTAATAAGGTAAGTAATGTTGACGTTAGGCGTAGAGTGTTGGGCAAAGAGGGAAAATCAATCGACGAGGCTATAAAGTTACATAGACTGAGATGGCTAGGTCACGTGCTGCGCATGCCTAACCATCGCCTCCCCCGACGGGCATTACTAGCTGATATAGGTGCAGGTTGGAAAAGAGTAAGTGGTGGCCAAACAAAAACATGGCCTCATCAATCCATGAAATCCTTGACAGTTAAACTGAGTCAGGTAGGGAGATGCAGACTCCCGGGTTGGGGCCCTCGGGACTCTAGGAATCAATGGCTGGAGACAATAGGTGACATGGCTCAAAATCGTTGTCAATGGCAGCGCAGATGTATTCAGTCTCTGTAATCTTTCATATTCCTTTCTACCATTACCCATTCTGTTTCACTCTTATACTTGTCAAACTCTATTGATTCTCTTCACTCATCTTCTTGTCTACCTTTGTGTGCTATTTGGAACGTGGCAACTCGAACTGGTGCACTTCGGTGCCAAGTTCTACGTTGAATCCAGACAGATAGACAGACATCATCCACCTTGGAACTAGAACGCTTCAAATCCAGTCTAGTGGATTATTGTTATCAGTACAAAAACCTCAAATGCAACAATGAACGTTTCTTGACAAAGGAACACAGAGAAGAACTAAAAAAACTGATGAATGATGAGAGACTGATAATCGCAAAGCCGGATAAAGGACCAGGGGTAGTCCTCCTTGATAGAAGTGACTATATTAAAAAGATGAATGATATATTGAAGGACACACAGAAGTTTCAAAAACTTGAGGAGAAGGAAGATTTCAATAACAAAATAGAGAATGAATTAACTAGACGTTTGAAGAAACTAAGGGAGGAGCAGATATTTTCTGAAAGTTTATATGAAGAAATCAGACCAATGGGCATGTATACGCCAAGATTGTATGGCCTACCTAAAGTGCATAAACCAGGGGTACCGTTAAGACCAATACTTGATATACAAAATTCGCTCTAGCTAGATGGTTAGTAAATATTCTCAAACCTTTGCACGAGAAGATAGTGAAATATAGCGTCAAAGATGTATTTGAATTCGTAAACAAAATAAAAGATATTAATATAAAGGACAAAACCATGATATCTCTGGACATAACATCGTTATTCACAAATGTACCTCTAATAGAAACAGTTAATTACATATGTGAACAAGTAGACGAGCAGTCGATAAACATTGGTATCCATACTGAAATCCTAAAAGAATTGATATTAAGATGTACCATGAATGTAAACTTCAAATTTGACGACAAGCTTTACAGGCAAGTGGACGGGGTGGCGATGGTCTCCCCATTGGGTCCCATTCTGGCTGATTTCTTTCTAAGTAAGCTAGAAAATGGACCTCTGAACAGCCTTATCAGTAAGCTCTCATTTTATTGCCGATATATGGATGATACCTTTAATCTTTGTGATAATGGTTCTGACAGGAGTACAATAATCACTGAATTCAATGAAGTACATTCGGCTATGAAATTCACATGTAAAGAGGAATCCCAAGACAGAATTGCCTTCCTGGATGTCCTACTTACAAGACAACCAGATGGTAGCATAAAAAGAAATTTGCTTAGAAAGAGCACTTGGACAGGACAGTATACACATTTTCACAGCTTCGTTCCTATCAAGTAAAAAAGAAATTTAGTGAAGACCCTCAGCCACAGAGTTAGAGCTATATGCTCAGAAGAAGTAACTGAAGATGAATTAAGCATTGTATATGATACTTTGATCGAAAATGGCTATCCCGAAAAATTTATCAAGAAACACATGACAAAGAAAACGGGAAAGGACTAGTCACTATCCGTAAAAAAGAAGCCTCTTTATATACGACTACAATTCATGGGCAATATACCAAGCGAGATAATTGCGAAGAAATTAAGAAAATCAGTTCAAAGAACTTTTAATGCTGGGGAAATACACGTCTTATTCTCTACACGATCGATGGTGCTACCTCGACTGAAAGATGAAGTACCTAGGCTAGCCACTTCAAATTGTATATACAAATTCAACTGAGCTTGTGGAGAGAGTTATATCGACCGTTGTTTTAGGGACTTGACTTTCCGTGCTCGAGAACATATCTCACTATGGGTAAGTAAAGGTGTAGTTAAAACCATTAACAGTTCGATACTGGACCATCTGGTGCAAACCGGCCACAAAACCAAAGTGGAAGAATCCTTCTCTATAATCTACTGGGTGCCTAGTAAATTGCCAAAATCATCGAAGCACCGCTCGCTCCAAACACCAGAGGCTATTGCAATTCGCCTCAAACAACCAGTGCTCTGTGTTCAAAAGAAGCAAGTCCAGCCCCTACTACTGCCCTGGCCTTCAGTAGAAACTATAAACTCATGAATTTGTTATATTACCCTTCCTAATTTTTCTGGCATTCAGCTTATTTTATGTTTTTACAGACAGATCGGTTTGGGAGATCAGACTAAGTTTTGACACGTCTCACACATGCTTGCAGTAATTTTAATAGGTCGAACTGAAGTGCAGTGGCTAGGCACTACAACAATATTGTACATGACATTATTGCATGTAGGAAACTTACTGATGAGGGTACTATAAATTATTTAAAATAATCCCAGCCTGTTTAAGAAAAAATCAAGACAAGATTTTTCTGTACGTAAGCCATAGCTTCTCCAGCAGAATTATTCCGATTTTGTTAACCAGCAAAATATACAGTCAAAAATTACATTAAATGAAATGATTTCCTTTGGAGGTCGCTTGTCGGTAGACATTTGTACCAATAGGAAAATGTAAACAGTCATTTGACCAATGTCAAGTTGTCATATATGTGTATTTGTCTGTATGAGTGTATGTTACGTGTTAAACACGTCATAATATAAGTTTGGCTTTTTCCCCTCGTATGTTTTGCTTTATTAGAGTTTGACATATATGTGATATGTCTATGCCTTCTCTCCTATTTACTGTATTGGATGTGGTTAAAAGATGCAAAGCTTCAGAGGTCATCCTTTCTTTGTGTGAATGAAAGCCTTTTCCTAGAATTTCGACATTGTCGAAATCAATCTTATGTCCGCTATCTATAGGCTGCATTGCTATAACTGATCTTTTCTCTAGACTTTCTAATTATACTTCATTTCTAGATGGAGAATTCGTGCACAGTTTATATTCATTCACTCTGACCTTCACCTGGCTACTGCTTTCCCCTATATAGCAAGCTTCACATTCTGAACACTTTATCCTATAGACACTGTTGTTTTGTGTCCTTTCGGGAATAAAATCTTTGACATTCAGAAAAGCTTTCTCTAGACAATTAGAGAGTTTGAAATAGACTTTGTGAGGCAAGTACCCTTTGAAGTTATTAAGCTGTCTCTTTTCGATATGGAATGGCTATCGTACTGGCTATTATGTATACTGTTGCACTATTTAGCAAATGTTACCACACACGGAGATATTTTACAGGTATACTTTTCTAACTGTGTTCACAGTATGATGAAAACTTTGAAAAACACAAAACTTCAATTGTTTTCATCACATACTAGTCATTATAATTCAAATTCTTATTTGTTTTCAAGCCAATTCTGATTTTCCTGTTGATTGATTCAAACTAAAATATCCGGCTTCTACTAACAAAGTAAGGTTCTAGGACGGAAGGTTCGTGGCCCAAGCCGTCTAGTAGACAACGCTTTGGTGTTTCAAACAATAAGTACTGGGTTTCTAATCTCAGTGGGAGCACCATATATCCCGACGAATAGGCAGGCTGCACACAGTTGAAACGATAAGTGCCTATCGACTTTATTCTTCCTCGTATCTTTTATTTTTACCTTTATGATCAGTTGCTATGCCTCACCTGTCGCTACCTCTTATCTTTTAAATTTGCTGCTAAATTTTATATGAATTCTTAAAAAAGTGAACTTAATTTATAGTTTCCTATATTGATTTTTTTCCTTCGCGTTCCCAGTGGAACATAGAGCTTCAAGCTGGTGGTTTAAAGTTTCTATAGCAGTGTTTAATTTTACAAAATGGAGATGCTAGCCTCGTGCCCAACCTTTCCTCTTTACCAGCATTATTTCTGGCTTAGAGAAGTAAGGGATTGTGTTGGTCAGGGATCGAACCCCGGACCATGTGCATGGCCGGCGAGAGTCCTAACCGCTATGCCACCAACGCCCCTATAAAGATTACTTTTTCAAAATTTCGCAATATATTCCTTACCTGTGTGTGTGTGTAAAGCATACTTACTAAGTCATGGTTTACAAGTTTACAAACTCAATTTAGTTCTGGTTTAGCTAAACTGTAGTTGAATTTCGTTCTATGACACCACATAAGCTTTTCTATTATGATTAATAAAAAAACAATAATTATTCATAGTCTTAATACCACAGGACAACTACTTATGTAAGTAATAAAGGCTTTTTTATTAGAAATCTGTTCAATTAAAACAAAAACAGGCGAATATTTGAAAATATTTGCGAAATGATATAAAAAAAATGTTATAAATGCGAATGTATACAATAAAATAAGTATGCCATCTTTAGTAGTTTTGAAGGTTGAAAAATATAAAAATGTTTAGTTAGTCAACTGAATTTTTGGGATATCGTGCTACAAAAGTAGGAACTGAGAATTTCCGTGAAGCTCCTTTATAGTTCATATATCGTATTTTGCCAAATATAGGTCGTTCAGACCATCCTTGATCATGAATTCCACATATAGCCCACATAATACCTGTTTAGTACGAGAAATAAGACAAAAAAGCTCTAGAAGCATTGTCAATACACACTATTGTTATTTAGTCAAACAGGTTTTATAAGGGCATAACTGTATATATATATGAGAATGAGCCATTAATGCATACGAAATATTAGTGAATAAAATATTAAATCGAACGAACCAACATATCCATTGGGATCTGTTCCATCTAAACTGTACCGATCATTCAAGTAAACTGCTATCTGTATAGCTGCTTCTGGACCTTCAGCACACCATTCAAGTATTTTCTTTGCCCAGTATTGACGTAAAAACCAATGCATTTTACCTTTGCGTACAAGTTGACGTTGTGCAGCATTCCAAAGGTCATCAGCTGTTTGAGCATTTTCCATTTGAAGTTTAGTGTATGCTGGATCTCTTTTATCTGTTGCATGTTTCATTAGTGTTTCACGTGCCCATTCATATGCACCTAAGTGGAAAAACAGGTAGTAGCTAAATATTAATTATCGTTATACTTCAATAGTTTACATTCAAAGATGAGTTTTTTTTATTTTGGTAACATTTCGAGCAAAATTACTGATCGCACCAACTATTGGAATTGACTTGCATGTGTAAATATTCCCCAAAGGAGGTGCCATTTCCTTGGGTTTGTGTTCAAAAGGTTGACTATCTCGGAAATAACCGCATTCAACATTTACAATATATCTTTGGCCCAAATTAAATCTACTTTCATGTCTTTTAGCAAATATAATAGATTTAGGACTCATTGGACACTAGTAACTAGTGTGACGTGTCTAGTCCTTTCTTTGGTGGAGCCTGAATTCTATCAGTCAGGTTTGCAATATGACCGCCATTCTAGGTAGCTCGCCATCACGGTGTACATTGATTTAATGATATTAGATAGTTAGAGTGGACTGGTAGAATTCAGTCTGCACCAAAGAAAGGACTAGACACGTCACACTAGTTCCTAGTGTCCAATGAAAATACCCACTACAGTCCTACAGGAGGTCAATCGCAAGCCCGAATACCTCAGTGGTAACATCTCTGACTGCAGCACTGGGTGACGCGGGTCCGAATCTCAGAAGGGACATGAGTTCCCTCAAGGTTACAGATACGTCTTGCCGACGAGTGCCAACAGGCACGAAACCTAGGTCCAAGGCTTCATGCTGATCTATGCCATCAGGTCTAATATCATCAGATTTGGGACTCTTCAGTAGTAGACACCAACCGACTTCTGCCAATCAATCAGGTCCCAGTGGCTGTGAATGTTTTGCGAGCTCGCCTTATAGCCGAACGATCTTGATTTCGATCCCTGGTGGGTACGAGCTGAAGAAGAGTCCGAAACTACTACGGAACATGTCCGATACTCCTAAGTTTCCCAATGGTTGTCCAACTGATGCCAGCTCGTGATCAAACCAGTAACTTATCAATTCCCTGCGGCACCAATATTTGAAAAATAGTAGATATGACCGACTAATCTATCTTATTCTTACATTCATAGGGTCTGATCAGGAGTATTAGGAAAGAACAGTTACAATCGGTTACCCATTTGCAAATCAATCGTACAAGGACACAACTATGACCTTACTGGTTTAATGATATAAGTTTAAATCTCGAGAGGGTCACTTTTTTTCTTTCCTTCACGTTCCCAGTGGAACATAGAGCTTCAAGCTAGTGGCTTGAAGTTTCTATAGCAGTGTTTAATTTTACAACATAGGGTTGCTAGCCTCATGCCCAACCTTTCCTCTTTACCAGCATTATTACTGGCTTCGAGAGGTAAATGAGTTCATCGGCCGGGGATCGAACCCCGGACCATGTGCATGGTCGGCAAGCGTCCTAATCACTATGCCACCGACACTTTGTCACTTAACTCTGTGGTGATTCACAAACAGAAGCTATATTAGTGCTGATCACAGTTAATTTTTCCAAAATAAAAAATCTTTCCCATTACAAATAACATACCTTGGATCGAGTCATACATAGGAGTATAGAAACAAAAATTGTCAGCTAGTTCTCTCCTATTAAAGCATTCTTCAATAAAAATATCAGCCGAACGACCATATTGCTTCTGAACAGCAACAACTTCAAGAACAGCTCGCTGAGGAGATATTTGACCTGTATAGCAAAAAAGATGAAAAAATCAAAATGCATGATATAAGTATAAAACTTGGGCACTGTGGTAGAGTATAAGTCCATTATGGATAAGATTTTATTTCGATAAATCACACAGTGTTGTACAGTTATATTAACTGATGACGTTTCGAGCACAAACTATTGCTCATATCATATATCACTAAATATGATTATGAGCAATAGTTTGTGCTCGGAACGTCATCAGTTAATATAACTGTACAACACTGTGTGATTTATCGAAATAAAATCTTATCCATAATGGACATATCAAAATGCATGTATCTCAGACAGTTATCAACCATAACTTGTTTTTAAAAATTTATAATCTGAGTATAAAGATGTTTTTAAAAAAATAAGGATGACTAATACGTTAATGTTCATAATTTAAGGTAGCGGAGAGGAAAACAAATGAGTCACTCAATGGAAATTTAGGCATATCACGTGATATGACTATTGTCAGTAAGAGATAGGCTATACAAACAAACATTAGAATGCTTGATTGGTTAGAGGATTTCATCATGTCTTCATTATAATGTGCCATAATCCTGTCCTATGAATGACTCAACCACACGTTGTTTACAGTCAGCCAATGGGTTTATAAGTGAACTAGTATTTGGACACATTTCTTCTGACGTCCTCAAACACAGCCTAGCTACAGGTTGTTTATTTCCAGTCATGTGATACTTTGTGTGCTTAAATATCAATAAAAGGCACGATAAGAAGAACACTAACAAAAACACGGTTGCTTTTTGTATTAGACACAACTAGGAATACTATAAGACATACTGTTGGGTTATTCGAATAAATTGCAATAAATGTGTCCAAATATTAATTCATCAATTGTAACCCTGTCTTTTGAATGAATTAACAATAATGTCTCATAAAGTGAATTTCCGTTACATCTGCACAACTGATAGTTACCAGTTGATTCATTGAAAGGAATTCTGAATACTAGATATCGCTTTTATGAGTGGTTTTATTGCACATCCCCGCTAATTGTAGCGTTGTAGTCGATTGCTGTAGTAGTGGTTTAATGACAAGTTACATTTTTTATATGTTTAGCATCAAAAATTTTATTCCTGCCATACATATTATTTGTGGCATTGTTTTCTTGAACTGCGTTACATTTGCTGCACTTTCTATCACAAAATGCTGCTTGATACTGATATCTGCTCAATGAAATGTACTAAGGGGGTACAGTAAGTTCAAAAGCCAAACGTATATTATTGAATTTCCATGAAATCACGCTGGTATATTTTAACCTATTTATCAAAACGCCCTAATACCCACTGGATAAAGCAGGTGGCGTCGCTTTAAGGAAAGGATATGCCATATATGCCATTTAGCTTTTATTCAAAGCACGATCTTACATATTTAAGTAATCTTAAAATAAATGGGATAGCTTTATCGCGCTGTTAACCATGTAGATAAAACTACTATAGTTTCCAAATCCTACAGCATTACTAGCTTGCATATGAACTGATTTACAAAGTCTTAGTATAGAACTACACACAAAATTACAGCAGTTTACGCCGTTACACTACACAGCACACAAAGGAGAAGAAAAGAAACTCAAATCAACAATGTGTACGGAAGAAAGAATAAGTACACGAAAAACTTGATGAATCAAGGAATTCATAGAGTGAATGTAATGGCGCCGTTTAGAACTATCTTGACCAATAACACCAATAGTCTCCCTATTTGGTTGGCTCAAACCGACAGCCAAAGACTTAATGGATTGAAGGCAGGTTTTGATTTGATCACTTCTATGTCAACTCATTGCTTGACGAGTAAGGCGGTGGCTATGCACGTGTCCTAGTCAACGCAATTTGTACAGCTTCACAACTTTATCTATCGATTTCCCATCCTCACTTAACACTCTCCACCCAATCTCAGTATTACTCGCCATGTTACGCCACGTAACACAGGAGATAGGAAGCAAATACCTATGGTCAATGACAGCTAGGACCTTCATGTCCTTCACCACTTTCAACGGCTACGTTTCATAGCCATGCAAAAAAGTGAATTACTGAGCAACACGCACGCAATTTGAATAGACAGTCAGATTTCACGTCTTTGTCAAAGACGACGTGAACTGGCGAATGGGATACGATCCTTTCGTTTCTACGTTGCGATTTCAACAGCAATCAAATTATTAGGGCTGATGGAAATTCCCGAATAAGTGAAGTAGCCAACACACTTAACTAATTCACTCGCCATTTTTGGACTAAGAGTCAGTGCAAACCAATCCAACAACACCATATTACATTTGACAGATGAGAATCGCGTATCAAACACTTCAGAATCTTTTTTGAGGTGGTTTTGTTCTCTGAGCTGGATGGTTAGTTTGCGAAGCTTTCATCACCTTATTGGGTGACATCTTCAGCGCATACTTCAGAATCTCTATTCAAGGTGTTCAGAAGACTGAATTTAGTCAGTGTCTTCACATAAGACCACATCATCTGCATACTTCAAATATATGAGACTTTCTCCCCAGTAACAAGTCAACCTGTAAGTAGCTTAAGTCAGTTAGAGTCACACATACCCATTACTACATCTGTGATGAAGTTAAAATGAGGATAATGGGCTTCCCTGACGAACATCGGTGATCACCACCACTTTCTCCATAAGGTGTTACACGACAACTGTGTTTACAACATGGAAATTAGTTGGTCACATACACCCTAGTGAGTAACACTTTTAAATTTCAAAATGAATGAATCTCACACAAAAGAACTACTGATAGAGTAACTTGGTGCCTTTGAAAACACATAAACTTCCACTTACATAAGAAAGCACGCGATAAATATAACACCATTCAGTAATTTAAATATCTTCATAGTATGGTCCGAACATTATTCTTTGAGCTAATCATTATTTTCGATATCTTCTTCAAACTCAACAGTTATAAATTTATGAATACTAGAATAAAAACAGCCAGTGAAGGCAAGTTGCATCAGTCCCAACGGGTTGGTCACAGACGAAATCTGAGCTCGAATACAGAAGGATCGGTTCGTATATGCCAGTCTACGCCAGAGATGGCGTAGACATGATATACGATATGATAGACATGACTGCCTATCGACCAAAGAGTGTATGAACTGTTCAGCAGTCCAATCCGTCCTCCTGTATCGCTGTGAGACATGGCCACAGAATGTGAAAGACATGATAACGTTAACTGTCTTTGATCACAGTTGCCTGCATTCTATCGTCCGTGTGAAGTGGTATAATGTGGTGAGCGATATTGAGGCTAGGCTTCAGTCCAGTGCTAGGTAAGGAGGGAAAATCAATCGATGAGGTTGTTAAGTTACACCGATTGAGATGGTTAGGACATGTGTCTAGCCATCATCTTCCTCGACAATGGGCAATGTTGGCTAACACAGGGTCAGGTTGGAAAAGAACCACTCGTGGTCAAACCAAAACATGACAACAGTCAATGAAATCCACAACAGTTGCTTTAAGCCAGCCACGCAGGAAGATGTAGGCTTCCTGATTGAGGTCCTCGGGACGGTAAAAACCAATGGCTGGAGACAATTGATGTTATGGCTCAAAATCGTTCTCAATGGCACAGACGCATCCCCTCCCTGTGACTTATAAAACCCAGTAAAACAGTATGGTTCTTCAAAATTACTATTCTTTTTGCCTAATATCTATGTTTACTGTCTCTGTTATGCATTTCGTTTAACTTTCTTCTCTTACTTTGTGTGCTATATGCAGTGTGGCGACACGAATCGCTGCACATAGGTGCAGAGTTCTATGGTGAGACCAGTCAGTCAGTGAGGGCAAATGAAAAATATATCGGCAATTATAAAAGGTTACCTGTATAAAATGGAATAAAAGTCTGTTAATCAACATTGAAAAAAGTGAATGCATCAAATACACACTAAATCCGAAAATTGAATAAATTGTCAATATCGATTTCAGTGATAAACTAATGTAAATACGGACAACACAATATGAATTTCATTTTAGTAATGATGAGTTATATTCAGTCGTTTGACAGAAATATAGATATCACAATATACAACACTTTGAGGCACACTGAATGTAAGTTTGACGGTTAACAGGTAACAAATGTAATGATGGAGAGGTAAAGTTGTGAAATTTAATCAAATACTAGAGATTTCAAAATATTAAATATCCCCATAGTAAAAGTTAGAACAACGCATTTAAGCGAACAATATTGTTTTCAATTAGATCTCATCAGGCCTAACTCTAATATATATAGCTGCATATAAATTGTGCAATTAGTCACAATCATAATAATAATAGTGATTCTATCAATAACAAGGATGAGAAAGTGATGCTATCTGTGATAACAAGAGCAACAAAAAACAGCATGATTAAACAAACACATGTTCAGGTAGAGGTAATCGATAAAGGCCAAAAAAAACAAATTCACCGATTGAGTAATGCTAGGTTTTAAGGGGAGTAAATAAAAGATGTGATAAGATTAAGGGATGATAAGAAAGGGGTTGGAAATATAAGTAAATGGTGATGGAGACGTCATCAGTTAGTTAGGTCTTAATAGGCCGAAGGAGAGATAACGGTTATACGAACTTCTTTTGAATGCATAGTTTAGGCTTAATAGTTCAAATGCCTATCACCTCAGTTATGTGCAGCAGACGAATACAAAGTCTATTGGAAAGATTCTGTGGGATGCAATGAATTACTTTGAATGCTTTCGTTTTCTCCAATACATACAACTAAATGTGACAAAATGGAGCTACGGATTGCTTTTATCTGTCCTTTGCCAAACCATGATGGGAGATGTTCAGTAATACGTTGGTTAGGCTGTCTAGTAGTACTACGCCCAACATAACTGTCACCACAGCTGCCGTTGAATTGATATTGATTTAGTTAATGTTTATCTGAACCAAATTGGAACGTGTTCACGAATGCGTCAGGATGAATCCGTTTTAGTACGACCTATATAAGTGTCTCTGCAGGAACAGTAGAATTTGTATACACATATTGATCCCGCCATCAGTGGTTATATATGTTTAATACACTGAGTCACTATCGGTTTGGTTAAGAAACTGAATTCAAGTTCTGAAATAATGAAAGTCCTCTCAATTGATGTAATCAACATATGGCTCAATACATCACTGGATATATCGCCTTTGAAATACACTTTAAAAAAATGATGTTTCTTACCATATCCCGCTGTTAGAAATATACTTCTTCGCAAAATTGGTAGGATAACTATTTTGTAGCAGGGTACTTTTACCGTTTTCAGTGTCATGGGCAATACAATCCTTGGTACATATACATCTAATTCCATGAGTGAGACAACGAATTAAATCCTGTCCTTACTTTATAGGCATGAAACTAAACAAATAGATGTATTGTCTGTTCCACGTTGCTATTCTATAGATACTTCTCCTTGAAGTATCCTCTCACGTTTTAGTAAGAAGAACATCAAGAAAGGGAACTCTGCCTTGATATTCTTCTTCGCAAATGAATTTAACTGCTGGGGGTACACTACTGAAGACTTGCATTAGATGTTGTTTATCCAAATTCTTGTTTCGTCGAAATAACGGTAATAATACTCAATTTTGTTCGACACCTTTCTTAGAAGATCATTTTCTTATTTTGCTAAGAAGATATCAGCCAATAAGGGACGTAGGGGGAAATGATAGTAACTGCAAAACTGCTTTTTAAATACAAAATGAATATTCATAGTACATTTTGGCGATAATTTTCTCAATATCACAAGTGTGATGCCAATATTCACTTTTCTTTATACAACTTTCTCTTATACTTAGTCCACTACTTCAACAAGGCAAACATGGGTAAGTAATGGCGTTACATCAAAAGATAACATTGTTTTATCGATTAAGTTTATATTTTTAATGTTTTCAGCATAGGTAAGGACATATTTTACACTGTGTTTAACTAACGCCCGATGTGATGGTTCCAGCAAATTTACCAGCCTATTTAGCAGTTAAATGAAATGGCGAATTCGACATGTATGTAATGGGACGTAGAGGAACTCCCAGCTCATAGATCTTCTGTTAGCCATAAATCTTAGGTATATGTGTCCCTGAAGAAAATGGAATATAGAACTATCAGTTAGATTTTCCTCTTTTGAAGACTTCGAAGTCTCAGCAAACTGATGTTCCATAGTCTCATTCAAATCGTTAAAGTCACCCGACTGCAGTGAACGTGCCCTTCAGTTTCTGAGTGTTGAACTTAAATTGTAATCTAATTCCAGCTTTATTGAAGATTTCTAAATTGATCTTGAAAGTTCTTTGCACTAAATTAATGGCCTAATTCCATAGGTGCTTCTCTTCTTGATCTCGTGTCCAGGAAGCTGCATTTCTACATTCTGAGGAGTCTTTCCGATTCCAGAGTAGAATAAGTTTATTTTTCCAGTTCTTCGAAGTCTAAACAGCAATGGGATTGATTCTTATAAGGTGGGGGTTTTTACATCCAACCCCAACCATGTGTATATGAGTTATCCGAATTCTGCATTTCAAGCCATGCGAATCCTGTTGAAGATGGGTTTGTGACAGATGGAATCGGTAAAAAAAATGTATCCGTTTGAAGAGGAGAAAATAAAGATGTGATAGAAGTATAAAACTTGGGCACTATGGTAGAGTATAACTCCACTATGGATAAGATTAATCAAGCAAAACGTTGTGTGAGTGACTTCATATGATTACGAGCACTAATAATTTGTGCTCGAAACGTCATCAGTTAATATTCTGTACAACTCAGTGTAATTTGTTTCAGAATTTCATCATGAGACATGACATCAGTTAGAGAATCATTGGAAAACCTGGGAGTACTGGACGGCTGTTTCGTCACCCTAGTTTGGGACTCTTCATTAGTACGCACCCACCGGGATTCGAACCCAGGACCTTCTGGTTACAAGGCGAGCTCGTATACCATTAGGCCAATGGGACCCAATCCAATGGTCCTTCAATTCTAACTTCTGCCAATTCACGACATAGCGCGACCGCTAGCCAGTGTCTTCGGCGAGTATTTGTGTGATTTATCAAAATAAAATCCTATCCATAGAGGATGTGGTAGTGTAACAACAGAAGACAAAGGCCAGGCAACAGATCATCTATATGTTAACTGTATCCGCCTATGCAAAGCCTTTGTTCTCATTTTTCTCACGATCAATATTGACGTAAATTACTTCCCACCAATTTTGACTAACATCTAACTCTCACCACAGTAGATGTAAAAGAAATCTATAATCTGACTAATTCTTCAAATTGCAATCACTCTGAGGAGGATTTCCGAACATTTCACCTTTATGCTCCACTGAAAATCCTTCAGGACTTACAACAACAATAAAGCATACTTTTCAAAAATTTAAAAATTAAATAATTTACAGTATAATAATAATCTAAATTCAGCTTACCGAAATGCAACCAAGGTGATAATCCACTCAAAGCAGGATTAGCTACATTACTTCTGTGCGGATCGAATTTTTCCAAACGTTTCTCAATAAACTTGTAGAGAACATTAAAACCAGCCTGAGTACCAGGGATTGCCCAGTCAACTGGTTTAACACTTTTGTCACCAACATACTTTGATAAAACTGTCTCCCAGTCAATAATAGGCTAATGGTACAAAGCATAGTTGATTGTAGAGGATTAACTGATTAGTTTGGAAACAATCTTTTTTGTTTTTTTTTACGAAAATATCAACACTATACTTAACTATACTTAAAAAATTATATTTATTTAACACTAGTTTATAAATGTGTGAATTTAGTAATTAAACAAATACGTTGGAAAAATGGAATACAAACAGACGAAATTGTTTGGAAAAGCAAGCTTGCAACAATCTTTATACACGCGCATAAACATTATTTGCATTCTAAATTAAATACACCATCAAGAAAGCACTTACAATACCTACTAATTTAGCTGATCAGTCTAGGGTTTAAAATAAAACATGGGAATCTTTAGTGTTTCAAAGCTAATCAAATGAAGCATATATATATATATATATATATATATATATATATGCCAGACATCAATATTATAGTATTATTATATATACTCCGAGTAAGTGAATACATTATATAAGTGTCTATCGATTTGCTGTAAAAGAAAGTGAAAGCAATTGTTTAAATCTCGCCATTGTACACGATAAGGTAAAACAAAGTAGTGTATTCTACCCATTCTCCCTTATCGTTAGCCCCCATCCCCCTTTTTCTTCCCTAGACTCCTCAAAAAAGACTATCTCATATTCCGTCGAACACTGAAGACTGTAAGAAGGGTTAGTAGTGCGCCTCTGATATGTATCCACATGCTTTGTGTTTTGTTCTCGACAGTCTATTATATTTTGCTATGTATACATGGATCGATGTTTCATTATAACTGACAATATGCTTTTGTCTGTCCACTAACTAAATGAACATATATGACCTGGTTATCACATGACACTATAACCAATCATGGTAAGACTGTCTGTCTATTGGTTCATGTGTATTAGTCATTTTCATATATACTTTTGTATTACATACTTGTACACTTGTTCCCACGTTTCGTACACTACGTACCATTTCACTCACTCTTGTGTGACATCTATTTTCCTTGTCTGGAAAATACAAGTATCATAGTAAACCTGGTGGTCTTCTGATTTCCCTCTTTCCGTGTAAGGACTATTAACTACTCGACGAGTACATAACATAATTGGCGACGGGGAAAACTCTAATAACTCACTCAGCAGCAGTACATAACAGCCTCTAACTCAGCTAACTGATATTATTGTCAATAGACATTTCAATACCCGCAAGCAGTTGGCTAAAGTTATCTTTTCCTATAACTGAATATGCTCTTATTCTCAACTTTTGCCTTGTATCTCTCTTCGGGTAAAACCAGAAGAAACTCCATAAGAATTTACGCTTGTTTGTACAGCTACTAAATATAAAAATTCTACTATACCATATTTAGCGCGGGTCTTGTCACAGTCAGCTGTCAGAAAAGAACTTATAAACTTTTTATTTTATTTTTTTTAATTTTTGATTACAGGTTGATTCCACACCGTATTTTTCGTACAAGTATGAAATTTTAAGCATGTGATATCGGTAGCCCAAATTTTGCAGGCCGACCATAGATATCAGATGTGCGTCGGCAGGGAATCAAACCTCGGACCATGTGCATGGTCGGCGAGAGTCCTAACCACTGTGCCACCGACGCATATTTCATTCGGTAATCTGAACTGCAAAGTATAAGTAAAGATTATTATTATAATATGTATTATTTATGATACTATCTACTTATACTTCATTATGTTCACACCAACATTCGGTTTATAGAGATTTCATTAATAATATTATTATTACTATTTTAAAGTTTATGCATGTAAATATTTATAAAAGGCGTTAAATTGTTGCAATATGCATAGAAACACTGAAAATTCCATTCTGTATAATTAGTATTGTTTGGAATAAGTAATTATTATTATTACTATTATTGTTATTAATGGTGAGTAAGCAGTGAATAGGAGAGACAAAGTCACAATATAGGAGCCTGGAACAATCGTGTTACACTATACATATCAGAATACTACTGGTGTTGGAATTGGTAAAATGAAACAATGACAGTTACAGGATTTCATCATGAGAGAGAACCACTGGAAAACCTGGGAGTACTGGACAGCTGTCTCGTCACCCTAGTTTGGGACTCTTCATCAGTACGCACCCACCGGGGTTCAAACCCAGGTCTTTCTCAATGAAAGGGGAACTAGCTCATAGACCATTAAGCCACTGGGACCCGATCCAATGGTCCTTGAATTCCAACTTCTGCCAATTCACGACATAGCGCAACCGCTAGCCAATGTCTTCGGCGAGTACTTGTCCGGACACCCGACCTGCTGCACCCTACTGGTCACGACTTCTCTCACTAAAACCCCGGGTAACTACCTACCTGAATAGGGCTAGTCGCTAGTGAGCATCTCATTGATATTCGAGTATCGGTTTGTAGGGATTTGATTGATTGGTTACAGGATTTCATCATGAAACCCGGTGGGTGCATAATGCTGACGAGTCCCAAACTAGGGTGAAACTGCTGTCCGGTACTCGCGGGTTTTCCAATGTTTCTCTAACCAATGTCAGCTCATCATGTTGATTAGCTTGATTGTTATCATATGTTTATCGACTGAGCACCTTTTAGTGACGCTTAGTGTCTTTTTTCCATAATATAAGTACATCTGTACAGCTTGAAAATCTTTCTCTATCCTTATAAATATTGACACTACCAATACACGGAAATCTAAAACATGCTAAACAAGAGAGAATGATTTACAACTAATGATAATCAAAGCAGCGAAAAGATTTCCGTAATCTTTTGTGCATCGGTGGCACAGCGATTAGGACTCCTGCCAACCATGCACATGGTCCGGGGTATGATCCCCGACCGACGAACACCTGATATCCATGGTCGGCCTCAAAACTTGGGCCACTAATATAATATGCTGAAAATCCCCATGCCTCTACCAAAAATACGGCATAGAATCAAGTTATAATCTAAAATAGAAAAATTAAATATATGCAAACATTCTATTTGTAAAATCTCAGCAAAATTGAAACGAGTAATTACAACGTTTCTTTCCGAAAACTGGCCCGAATTTCATCGGGGAAATTAATCGAAATAATAATAACAAAGGTTTTAACAATAATAGGACCTCTCTTGTTTTTAAAAACTCTCTCCAATCATTATGTGGTGGTGTGGTACAGACAATATGTGTCAACGGAAGATGATTCTCACATTTTCCCACAGTTCAAGTCGGAAATAGCAATATAGAACACAGTACATCTCTATTAGACCATTGTATTTGATGACAGAATCAGAATACTTTTCCCACGGTTATATATTTTTTCCTTCATGTTCCCCGTGGAACTTCCAGCTAGTGGCTTTAAGTTTCTGTAGTAGTGTTTATTTTTACGGGATGGGGTTGCTAGCCTCATGCCCAACCTTTCCTCTTTACCAGCATTATTTCTGGCTCAACGAGGTAAAGGAGTGCATTGGCCGGAGATCGAACCTCGGACCATGTGTATGGTCAGCGGGCGTCCTAACCGCTGTGCCACCGACACACCACGGTTATATACTGAATTAAATAAAAAACAAAATACTATGTATATTTGAACATTGTATTTCATGTCATTTAATGTAGACCGAAATCACACGCTCAGTGATTGATTGGTTAACAAATATAAACTGTTGATATATAAACAGCGGTTTGATTCACGAAATGTACTTTGGTTTCCGTGTCTTGCCTTAGGTTGTTACAATATGAGTTATGAAACAGTCATCAAAATATAATAAACGAAATTGCATGAACTGTGATCAAAATTTGACCTCAAACTTCTTACAATCCACTTTTGTTAAACACTGTAAACAGTGTGCACTTTTAGATCAAAATTTTGGTGATTATGTTCGACTGAAGTTCATGGTCGTAGATAACTGAATATGAAAAATATATTTGTATATGCGGTATACAACGGTGTGTGTGTGTGTGTGTGCATTTGTGTATGAGGAAACAATTGTAAATCATTTGTTAGCCTCCTCATAAGAAGATATGGACAATTGGGAATTTAGACGAAATATGATAGATTAGTGATACATCTCCATTTTTATTCATTAATCAGGACTTACCATGCTGACACCACGCCTTCTCGTCTCTTCAGACTTTCCGTTTAGCTCCACAACACGAGAACTGACTGCATTACTATGATTAAGTGTATGGCGCTTTAATGTTTTGGAATTCGTACATATACGGTTATGCCTAGAGGCTTTCCAGAATAAATTAGGATACTCATTTTTACTAGTACAGCTTTCAAAAAAGTTAATCTCTTAAGCCTGACAGAATACCGCAGGAACTCATTACGTTCTTTCATCGTCGTTGGGTCAGTGGCACAGTGGTTAGGACTCTCGCCGACCATGCACATGGTCCGAGGTTTGATTCCCTGCCGACGCACATCTGATATCTATGGTCGGCCTGCAAAATTTAGGCTACCGATATCACATGCTGAAAATTTCATACTTGTACGAAAAATACGGTGTGGAATCAAGCTGTAATCAAAAGTAAAATAATTCCCATTGTAGCATTAACAACAGAATATTCAGCGAAGAGACTCCTCTCGACGAATTTATTATCGAGTTGTAATAATAGTAGTATGAAATGCAATTAAAATATTTGTGTCAAGTAATAGAACAGTTAGTGTCATATATAGAATAATTCATAAAACTTAGAACAATTAGTTCCCCTTAGGAATTTATACAAGGCAATAAGACGCAATTAGTAAGTTTCAACCACCTTTATGCGTTCAAAAATAATTCGTCATCACACTAAACCTTTCTTCGTAAACTTTGTGTTTGATACCAGCCTGTGCAGATGTACTAATACCTCTCTTACTTGGTTTAGTGACCTGCACTGTTATTTTGACCTTCAATATGTCCTTTTAACTTGACCTAAATTTATTTTCTCATGACTTAACTCTTTATCAATTTCATATATATTTCTATGATAAGTCTACGTGTGATCGGATTGTTGGAAATGTGATGCTCACGTACATTGCACGATTAGGACAAATTAAATCTTCCTATTACTTTGTCTAAATTCATAAGATGTATAGCTGTTGGAGAGGGGTGAATAATTATAGGATTATGAGGCTAATATAAAAAGTATTACATAATATGGTGTAAAATTTGATGAAACAGAATTCAATATTGTAAAAAAAATTTGGGATTTCGAATGACAAGTGGGACAGGCGAAAACAATGTAGAGTGAGAATAGTAGTTAGAATAATAAAAATAATCGTAGAAATGAGCGAAAGGTACACAGAATAACTAAATAAACAAAATAAATAAATAAATTCGTTGAGAACAGTCTCTTCGCTGAATATTGCGTTGTTAATGCTACAATGGGAATTACTAAATTATTGAAAAATTGCGAAGACCCAACGACGATGAAAGAATTTAATGGGTTCCTGTAGCATTCTGTCAAACTTATTATCATTGTTTCCTTCAGTCTCTAGAGCAACATAGGCTTCTTCAGCCGCACGTCTCCATTGCATTCCGTTCTCTGCCAAGGTTTTCACCTGGCTCCACGTCTGCACACATGCTCTCATCTCCTCCTCACATGACCTCCTCCAAGTAACTCTTGGACGACCAACTCGCCCCTCTCCTTTCGGGTTCCACTCGAGCAATGGCTTGTCTGGTGATGTCACTTGATGGTTTCCTCAGAATATGGCCAATCCACCTCCATTTCTTCCTGCCCATTTGTTTCACAATCGGTTTCTGGTTGGTTCGCTCCCAGAGATCTTTGTTCCTGATCTTTTCTGGTCATCTGGTCTTGAGTATTGTGCGAAGACAGCTATTGATGAAGGTCTGTAGTTTGTTTGAGTTGCTCTTTATGACGCGCCACGTCTCTGGTCCATATAGTAGCACTGATTCCACATTGGAGTTGAAAATCCGGATCTTATTTTTCATACTGAGTGATGCTGACCTCCACACAGACTTGAGAGTAGTAGTGAAAGCTTGCCTAGCTTTCCAGACCCTCGCCTTGATATCCTCGTCATTTCCGCTTGTAGTAGAAAACGATGCTTCCCAGGCATGCAAAAGAGGTTGCTACTTTCAGGTTCCTCCCATTTATGCTGATTGTTGTCCGTTGTTGTTGCTGTTGGCCAGGAATCTTCATCACCTCTATCCTCTCTGTGTTCATCTGAAGTTTTATCTTCGCTGGATGCTTCTTCTGCCAACTTGTCGCTATTCACTTGCATATCTTCCAGTTTTTGGGAAATCAGACACATATCATTGGCGAAGTCCAGATCCTCCAAGTTTTTTGTGTGAGTCCATTTTATGCCTGTTTTCTCATTTCCCGTTGTCTGTCAAATTATCCAATCTACTGTAATCAGAATAACCATTGGAGATAGTAGACAGCCTTGTCTTTTTCCTTCTTCAATTCATAGGATTCCGTGAGTTTTCCGTTGTGGATTACTTGGCCTGCAGCATTGTCGTATAATTGTTGGATGAGATGTATAATTGTCGATGGGACCCCGTAGTAACGAAGTAGTTGCCAAATGACCTCTCGATCGACGCTGTCGAAGGCCTTTTCAAAGTCGATGAAGTTGAGATAGAGAGGTGACTGTCATTCCAAGCTCTGTTCAATGATGATCCGTAGTGTGGCGATTTGATCAATGCCTGACTTGTTTCTCCTGAATTCAGACTGTTCCAGTCGAAGTTTTTCATCCAGGACGGCATGTCTGATTCTCTCCAGGATGATGCGGCTTAGCATTTTGCTTGGGATGAACAGGAGCATAATTTCGCGCCAGTTTTTGCATTGACTTAAGTCTCCTTTCTTTGGCAGTTTTAATAAGTAACCTTTCTTCCAATCTTCAAGTACCTTGCCCTCTTTCCATACCTCCTCCAGTAGTGGTGTTGTCTCTGGGTCTATTTTCAATGCTTCTGCTGGGATTCCGTATGGTTCCGCTGCTTTTCCAGTTTTTAGCATTTTTATGACCTTCAGAACTTATGCTTTCATCGGAGGGTTGGTATCCACTCGTAGTTCTGCTTCTGATATTATTGGGCGCGTTGTATGTAGAGGCCGATTAAGAAGTCTTTTGAAGTATTTAGCCCAGTATTTCCTTTGCTCCACTTCTTTGGTGATGGACCTTCCATTGTCACCCTTCACTTGCTTAATTTGTGTTGATCTCTCCTCCGATAAGAACCTAGTTGTATGGTAGAGTGTTGCGAGGTCTTTTTTGCTTGCAGCTTGTTCTGCTTCATTTGCCATAGCTTTGTGATTTGTCTTCCCTGTCAATTTTCTTTGCTCTTTTGTTCAGTGTATTGTAGTTTGCATTCAACTTCTGTTTTTGTTGCTCGTCGATACACTGTTTAATCTTATGTTTCACCATCCTTCTCTCTTTTATTAATCTCCATGTTCCCGTAGTGACAAACTGTTTGACCTGTCTCTTCTTTCTGCCTAGAACTTCCATCCAGGTTTGACTCCACACCGCTTTCAGGTTGTTCCTCCAGTGTTTTTCAACGCTGGTCTATTCCCTAGTGTTGATTTGTGTCTCCGCCTTTCTCCTTATGATTGCAGCGAAGACATCCTTTGTATCCTGATCCTTCAGTTTTTGAGTATTGAACTTGGCTTGTGATCTACCTGCAGCTTTGAAAGCAAGACATGCAAACCAAAGTACATTTTATCAATCAAACCTCTGTTTATATATCAACAGTTTATATCCGTTATCCAATCAATCACCGAGCGTGTGATTTCGGTTCACATCAAACGACATGAAATACAATGTTCAAATAGATGTATTGTATTCTATTGTTAATGCCGACTCGAACTGTGGGCATTATGTGAGAATCATCTTTCGTTGGCACACATTAATAATAGTAATTTGCTTTATTCCAAAACAGTACTTGTGATACAGAATGGAATTCTCATCATTTCACTACAGTATTGCATCCAGTTGGCACATTAACTATGACTAAAATTCTACACAGATTAAGGGTAATCTCAGTTAGTTTTGACAACAACATATTAGCCAAAATTAAAGTGTTTGAAGGTGTTATGAAAGTAGGTTCTAGCATATTTACTGTCGTAAGCGCTAGCAAAAAGGTCGAAATATACGGAGTGTGAAAGAACGAAGACAAATGTTTTAAATGGAGTTCGTAAGGAAGAAAGAAATAAAGCAGCACATAACAGAAAAAAAGAGAAAAGGAAAAGAAAGAAAACGTTGTACCTATAAATGATACGAGTTGAAAAGACGAGATCCAGTTGTTCTACTGACTATTTAATAAGTTATAGGTATCACGCCTAATGCTTTCATTATCGCACAGAACACGGGCCAAGTAGGTAGGGTATAGTTGAGTTTTTGTATTTGCTAGTGCGAGCATATAGTTTTCTACATAGGCTTCTGGTTCAACCTGATGAGATACAAGGGAAGAGTTGTGAATGAAGAGGGTGGTGTGAGTTAGATAAAATGGATTTTGCCCATTTTTCACATGAGTCCGAGTGCCTTTCGACCAGAATATTAACAAGCTGGTTAAGTGGCACATTGCTTACCCTGCTGACAACCTTTAACATCCTGCGTAATAAGGTATGGTCTTTCTTCAGTAGCCCTGGAAAAACTAAGGGGGAACAATAGAGAATAATAGGCAAGATGCAAGAGTTAACGAAACGTAGGAGTAAGGGTTGGGTTATTCCAGAATACCTTAACTTCTTGATGTAGAAGATAAGACGGAATATTTTCTTAGAAATCATCAAGATATTAGACGACCAGGAAAGATCAGCGGATAGAATGATGCCAAGATATTTCCTTTCCGACATGGTGTCCATTTCAGCGCCATGTATGTTGCACACCTCGTGAGTAGTAACCAGTTTGTTTAGGTCAGATTTATGCCTTAAGGTGACAGTTTGGCATTTGGAGGGGTTTAAGGTAAGACCGTTTTCCTTGGACCACTGGCTGATTTCTGATAAAAAGCCATTTAGTTTGGAGCAGTCGCTTTGATATTTGACAGGCAAAGATACAGTTAGGTCGTCAGTATATTTAACAAAATTAATGTCATTTGAAGATGGTAAGTCATGTAGAAAGAAAGAAAAGAGAAGTGGGGAGAGTACAGCACCTTGGGAGACATCAGTTTTGGTGAGCACAGCAGAGGAGGATTTACCTTTGTGTACAGTGTACTGCATTCTGTATCTGACTGTATCACACCACCACAATATGATTGGACAAAGTTTTTAGGAACAAGAGATATCCTACTAATGTATAAACTTTTGTTAATTTAATTTCGATTAATTTCCCCGATGAAGTTCTGATGAGTTTGTGGAAAGAAACGTTGGACTTACTCATTTCAATATCCCTAAGAGTTTAGACAACTAAGTTTTACACAAGTCAACTTCTCATTCAGCGCCCTTTATTCTGGAACTTAACGGTGAAGTCTTGATCACAGTTCATAAGAATAGGTGAGGTTATTATGCTTATATGAGTGATTCATGACGATTTTGAAATATGATTAGCAATCAACATGGGCTTGCTGTGATTTTTTTCTCCGCATTAAGGTTATAGTTAGTAAATATTTCAGGTGTCAATCGAAAAACTGGAGACATCAGCACATGTATGTCAGAAATTTCCCAAGGTCACTTATTAGAAATGACCATTTGAAACATCACAGTCATTGAGTACCTACCCAAACTTTCAGCAATACAAAAAAAATATTTCTGAATAGTCAATAGTAGTGAAGTCTTTTTTAATTAAGTATATAACTAAAAAAAGGTAGTATAATAAATTGTAGTCTAACTTACCGGTGGATTAGGCGTATTCTCAGATGTATATGGATGCTTAATAATGGGTGGGAACTCTGTGAGATAAACTGAAGATTGTGCAAACAGCTTTGTTCTGATTGTGCGTGCAGAATATTCACGTTTATCTGAGCCACACCAGACTGGAACAATGTTGTGCGCATCAATCTGGTGAATAGCAACACGAAACAACACATGACATTTATCCACACATAAGAGGGATGCTAAAATTCGCATATAACATATAAATTTTTATCATCAGATGACACCGATCAACCTTATGGACGAATTAGCATGAATAATAAGCGGACCATCGAATGTGTAGCACACATATTTATCCCTAAATTACCTGTAGGGTAAAATCTAACAAGAAAGGGATCTCAGTACCGGTGGATATCAATATTTACACGGGGAGGTAATACGGTAAACTGATAAAAAAAGATTAGACGTGATTTCTTTACTTGGATCTTAGAACATACCAACTAATTCAAAGAAAACTATGTTTAGCCAATTTAATGTGCAGAATTTTCTTTTATGGCAGTTATTGAATACACTTTCTCTATAAGTAATACACTGAATACTGTTCTGACTAAGCTTGCAAGAATTTTAATTGAGATGATCAGCAGTAACTAATGTACTAACACATTTTAACATTATTTGCAAGAATTTTATCTGAGTACATGCCTTAATGAAGACAAAAGAAATATAGTAGGGAACTTTGTTACATAAACATACTTCAGAAGCTAATTGGTGGATGGTAACTAGCAGTGGAATCCAAGACAATGCGCACTTCGTCCTATTTGGGACTCGTCATCTGTATGTGCCTGCAATCCACAGTGAGTGATGATATTTCCACCGAGGCTCGAACCCAGTGCCCATAGTCTCAAACACCAAAGCGGTATCCACTAGACCACTTGGGCTACCTTTTGTGCAACGGGTCATATTAATTATCTAATTGAATTTTAGACTTTCCCGTCGATTGATTGGATAGAAGTGCTCGGTCTCAGTGCTAGTCACCACTCACCAATTAACTTCTAATTACATGCCAAGACATCGTCGAAGCATCTGCACAAGAAACCGACATGTCACCCACAGACCGAGCACTTCGGTCCAATCAATTGACGGGAAAATCTCAAATTGAATTAAATAGACATATTTCACCTGATTCTTTAAATGACTGATAAATTTATACTGATGAGATTTGTTTCACAATTTAACGGAAAACTGCCGAATTTTCGGATTCCCGACTGATGCAAAAGACTTCAGTTGACTATTTCAACTGACTGATATGCCAACGTAGAACTTTACACTAAAGTGAAGTATTTCAAGTTGCTACACTTTGGAAAACCGTAAACAACAGGAAAATTAAGGAGTGCAGTGAAACTACAGTGGATGAAGCTGCACTACAGAGAACTACTCAATAGAGATTAGTGAGGAATTTCAAAATCTGGATGCTGATATATGCAACACTGTGAACAATTCGGAGCTAGTCCAATAACTACTAACTACCTCAAACCATTGTTTCCTTAACCTGCACGAACCTAGCCAGGCAATTCATACACTCCTATGTTGCTCAAACCATCAGTTAAAAACTTCTTGGATTAGTACAATGTTTTCGTCTGACTACATCTAAATCTCTTCCAAACTAGTCCTACTGCAGCTAATAGTGCTCATATTTTGAAGGTGGTGACTCCAAATGCTTAACACATGTCCTTACTATCTCCCTCGACGGACAAAAAATCAAGAGAATTCCTCTTCCTATCTAAAGCTCCACTCAACCTCATTATTACTGATTAGACTGCCCCGTCTAGCATAAAAAACCGAAAGAAGGCAACTACCGTTAAAATTAATATCTTTCACCTTCAGTAAACCATGTCTCACCCAGAAGATTTCTGCACAGATGACAAGTCCGTTCATGGGTAGCCAGTAGTTACCTCTACACCAAAGACGTCGAAGTTCACAAATACCAAACAAGTGTACAGCATCTGTCAGAAATCAGTTTATTAAGACTGGAGAAACTTATCAAACACGTGAAGTTGTTAACATATGCAACAGCGCATCTGATATGAAAATCCCATTGAAACAGGAACACAACCATCCGGTTGCCTTCTATCCTATCGCCCTTGGAGGTGTGCAGTTAGGAGGACACTATCAGAGAGTTTGATAGGCATATATACTTAGTGGAGGACGAACACATGTGTCACAATTTGTACTTGTAAAATGTATGGTAAACGTTCTAATATAATCTACATCCCAAGACTCTTCAATTTCTAAAAACGTGACAGTAATGTTTTTGATGATAGCTTGATTCCACAGAGTATTTTTGGTACAAGTATGGAATTTTCAGCATGTGATATCGGTAGCCCAAATTTTGCAGGCTGACCATTGATATCAAGTTTTCGTCGGCAGGGGATCGAACCCCGGACCATGTGCATGGTCGACAAGAGTCATAACCGCTGTGTCCCCGATGCGAATCTATCAAGGCTCATCAGTGGTCCAGCGGTAGAACGCTGGTCAACCACGACTCACGTGGTCCGGTGTTCGATCCCCGACTGACGCACTCTTAAACTTCGTTAGGCCGGTAGTAACTCTTGCTAAAGAGGGAAGGTTGAGTGTGAGGCTAGCACCTCCGTCCCATAAAAATAAAACTACTGCTACAGAAACTTCAAAGCTCTAGCATGAAGCCCTGGCAAGTAAAGAAATAAAATAAATAGATAATTTATCAAAGCGAAATAGTGAAATTCTTACTTCACAAAAAGGAATAAAAGTAGGCATTTCTTGTACAACTTTCTTTACCCAAGAACGAGGAGCTCTTAGAGGACAAAAGTCTGTGATTAAACAACCAATATTCAGTGATTTAACTAGATTAACAACTGCTGTTGCAACATTTTCATCATAAAGAAACTCTGTTTGTATTCGTTCAGTTTGATTCGACAATGCATTTTCATCTGACCATCTAAATTTACATCCAGATGATACATCTTCAATATTAACACCGTGTTCAGCAGCATTTAACAAATGGAATGGAATATTTAATGAAAGACATTCCTACAAATAAAGAAATAAAGACATTACAGTATCTTAGATACCATTATCATTTTTTGTATGAAACATCATAACTAAGCTATACCTAATTAACAGATCCAATAATAAGATGAACAAACATGTTATCGTCACTCCTACATGTTTGCGTTTGTTTCAGCGGAAAATATCCCTTGTGCATTTGTAGGAAATACCTTTTATGTATCCTTTATGAGTTTATATCGAGTTTAATGGTAATTAAAATAGTAAAACACCGTTTAGAAGACTGCTGTTCTAGTCGGTATCCCTTTAAAGTGATTCAAAAATTAAGTAAGATAATTCTTAATCCCTCGAGTTACGAGTGGAATACAGAGCGCTTCAGCAGCATAATTTCACTTCAACATGTTCACTGCACTCTTTTTTAGCTGGCTGTACAATTGCCCATAAGTTATTACTTCCTCCTTACACAGTTTCCTCCAGATCATCCTCAGATGTCCAAATCATCGTTTCTCATTCGGGTCCCACTAACCATCCTAGATCGTGATGTCACTCAAAGGTCTCCGCAACGTATGTTTAATCCAACTCTACTTTCTTCTGTATATTTGTTGGATTATAGAATCTTTCACAGAGTTTCTTGTATTTTGTGCTTTCTCGCTGTTTGGTCTTCAGTATCAAACCCGAATAAATACAGCTGTTGATGAAAGTCTGTAGTCTGTTGAAAATGGTTTTGTTGACGCCCTAAGATCTGTGAACCACATACAAGAAGGGAACTGACATTGGTGTTAAAAGTTCAGATCTTGTTTCTTGTCCTGAATGCAATAAATTTACACACTAATTTCAGATTAATGAAGATCTAACTAACTTTTTCGACCCTACCTTTGGCATCTTCACTCGCCTTGCCTGTAGTCAAAAAACGATACTACCTAAATAAGTGAAACAAATAGCTCTCCTAAAAATTCTTCGTGATTTGTGATGGTGATCGGTTCTTTTTGTTGTTGCTCATTAGACATTTTCATCGTCTGTCTTCTCTACATGCATTGGAAGTCTTGTCTTTGCGGTCTCTTCTGACAACTTGTTAGTTTTCGTCTAGAGATCTTCAACTTTGTGCGACATAAATCATCTGCAAAGTGACCGAAAATACCGACTGAGTCATGAAGAAAAGATAAGACAATTTAGTGGAGAAAATTTTTCTTTATCGACAAACTCATCTTCAGAGGCTGTACAGTCGTATTACCAAAAGTGTATAGTAGTCTATTATTGAGTAACAAGGGTGACATAACTGATATAATTACTCAGAAGTGGCTTTAGAAGTGAAAATAGAATTTATGAATTACGTAGTGTTAGATATTTGATAAGGTTAAAATCATTATTGAGTGAGAATAAAATTAGCTGAGTGTCCATTTGACAAGTGTGAAGATGGTGACAGTGGCAATAGTGAATTAATTATTAAAATAAAAGGAAACTAAAAGTAAAATTGGAAAATAAAAAATTTACAGGGAACGACTAGTAAAGAGGATAAGACCATAGTAGAATAAGAGACTGGACAAACTTTTTCTGTATGAATGACTGACTGGTTTCAACACAGAACTTTGCACCAATGTACAGAAGTTCGAATCGCCACACTGTATATGGCACACAAAGCAAGAGAAGAAAGTAAAACGAAATACAAAACAGTGACAGTAGACATATATATATGAGTCAAAAAGAATACTTATTTCGAAGAACCATACTATTTTATTTGGTATTATAAGTCACAAGGAGTGAATGCATCTGCGTTAGCCGTTGAGAACGATTCAGAGTCATATCATTAATTGTCTCCAGCCACTTTTTCTGCATACATAGTTCAGGGTTGTATTGACGAACTGCCGAAGCCTCCACCATACACAAATGCCGAAACCTAACACCCTTTGTACTATTCGGCCTCAACTTGTAGATCATCTTAAAAGATGACTCCGGTGGAACTACGTGGCATGAGTTTACCAAGTGCTCGAGAATTGAGCTAACAATTGTCTTGCATTGTCCTTTTGCTAACCATGCTACATAGTGTTCAGAGATGCGTTTGGAAAGTGTGCCGTCGCTTTGTGCGGCAAATATAACTACCTCCACACGAGCAGTTGAAGTGGCGCAAAGCTACAGTTTATCCTTCACACATCTGCAAAGTCTAGATCTTACAGTTTCTTTTCGTTGGCCCAGCGTATTCCTGCCTCCTTGCTCTCCAGGATTAGCCGCATGATTTAATCTACCACAACCAGAAATGTCATCGATGATAGTAGGCAGCCATACCTTACTTGCATCTTCATTTCAAACGCCTTGTTGAGCTTTTCTAATGAATCACTGGGTACGTGGCATCATCATATAACTGTTGAATGACGTTTATAAATGTTTGCAACACTGCATTGCCTATTATACATATGTATATATGATTTAATGCTTAGGAATTTTTAAGAAATGCAAACAATTTCTTATCCACTATTCATCAGAATGTAACCATTTAAGGTTTCATTTTTCCCTTGCAACACATCTCATGAAACACTTTTATCAAAAAGATAAGCTATTGAGTTGTCGAAATAAAGACAGCATACACAAAGTGAGATCCGTGAAGAATTTAAATCTAAAGTATATATATTGATGAAATCCTGTCTGTATTTTAGCAATGTGTATCTGTAGGAAAGTATAAAATGAGATACAAACCAGTAACAATGTATGGTATCGTATATTACGTAACAAGTCAAATCCATTTTATAAAAATTAACAAGAAACTCCACTCACAAAGTTAAAAGGCATAGAACAGATTTCTAACCTATAATTCACAGGTTAAACAATGAATAATTAGTAAAGTGCAAAGGTGATAAAACAGAACTGGTAGAGTTATCACATCACAAACGTGACTGACGCAATGTACACAGCTATCAATTAAGTCCAAGTTACACCACTTTTTAGATGGAGTTCTAGCCTTTTTGAAGTTGAACAACCTACAGCCACCCAGAAAAAGTAACAGAAGAGGGTTCTAACTGAGCTGCCGAAAGAAGTATTAAAATAGTAAGGGGAATAAGTCATTACTATGACAGATATGTCACTTTGAATTTGAGAGTAAGACAGATTTTCTTGACTACAGTCCAACCATTTCAGTATGTAGAGAAAGATAGAAATTCTCATTCGACAATCGTAGGGCAATCAGGCTACGTAATATGACTTTATCCATCTATAACAAGTGAACAACAAATCGTAGCTGTGGAACAACATTAACTTCACAAATCAGATTGGTTTTAAGCTTACTTAAGAGAATATTTGCTAAAAATTTATCTTTAACTAGGTTATAGGATATAACCAGTTTTGAGACATTATAAAATTCTCTCACTCGTACCGATACTTCTAACTGATTCAGTTGCATACGAATTTTTATTTTAAATGATCGTTATTTTGATTAAGGAATTTTATGCAGTGACAAAAACAAAAGGATTTTCCTATCAACGAATGGCTTGTAATACTTTTTTAGGAAGTGGGGATAGCCATTGTACTATTTCTTCACTAAAATTACCATAACTGACATTAAAACTTCAAATGATAACCAACTGCTGCTTGTGTCTAATGTTCATTCGCTTATTTCATCGAGAAGTTTTGGAGTTTTTTTCCAGTGAATGCCAAATCAACATGTTATAGCATTTTTCTTTAATTGGCACAAGAGTGCTTTTACTGACTCACACATAGAGACGTAAAGTTGTTTGCTTCTAACTGGTAATTATACCAGTTAAAGATGAAACAAATCCTGATAGATTACTCAGCAGACTGAATTAATTTAACTAGCGAGAATTTTTAAAAATATCCTTCATGCTTGTATTACTCGTTTCATAAAGACTAATCGTGAACCCAAGGAAACTAAATGTTAGGGAAAGAATTATGCAACGCCTGGGGACTTCTGGAATACTTTCCGTCTTTGGCTTTTGAAGAGTAACATGTATCACCTTTAGGGTATACATGACTTTATCAAACGGTAACAGTTACACTGACAGAAATATTAAGACACTTTTCAGGGGATTCGTGATAAAAGAAACAAATATGTAGTGAAACAAGATCAAAGGGACAAGCGGCATCAACACTGGACCAGGTACTTAAAAGTAATAGTAATACTAGTAGTCCAGGTTGTTGTACATACTTGAGCATTGTGACCATAACTGGAGAATATTTTGATAAAAATAAATATGGGAAGTTTGATAGGTTTTCTAACTTTCTGTTTTTCTGTAACTAATAGCATTGGTTTTACGACTTTTCATCCCTCTTTTATTCCATTGAGCTTACTGTGTAGCGTACTGAGGTTAATTAAATAAGTCGAAATTCTATACACATACTATGTTGCTTATGTTCGTGCTTGTCTGGACAAAATGGATTTCTGGTTAAAGATATCAATAAAAATACCAAGAAACACAGGCTGGATTGATGTATATCAGCAAAAAAAATAATAAACCATAAGAACGCAGTTTGTTAATTAATCATGTTGTTAATATGCAAGCATATTCTTTTTAAATAATATTTAAACTTCATCTTACTTGTTCCACTTCAGCTAATCCACCGATCATGAACTTAAAATGTCTCAAAGTATCAGCTTGGTAGGCAGGAACCAAACAAAAACAAACTTGGAGTGGAACCTCAAATTTTAATGCTAAGCGTTGTGCATATAAAAACGCCCAGTTATCTGAAATACGAGATATTAGAAGAGTTTATTGGAAGAAATATATATATATATATATATATATATATATATATATATATATATAACCGCATCTTGATATCAGATGTCAGAATTAGGAATACACTGAATTCTATGCTATTATCATTCAATGATGTCTCTATACACCTGAACGAGCTAACAACCCACTTTGATATCAAAATATTGATGTGTTAGTATATTAGTCGTAAAAATCAATAAAAAAACCATTTGCCATCTTTATTTAAAAAAATCGTGTACTACTAAAGGTGGGAGAATAACTGTGCGCATTTAGGTTACAGGCGTTGGATGTGGAAGAGCTGTTCAGAAAAATTGGGTAATACTAGTTATACACCCCACTGTACATGGTCACATCGTATCATTCTCAGTACACCTATCAGGTGCATTAAAGTTTAAAGAAAAATACTGCGGTCAGATTGACCAGAATAATTTTCTGCAATGAACAAACCTTACGATAACATTAGTGACCTACCTAGACCGTAGAATAAGCAAGTCATGTACACTAGCTTTCTAAGTTCCTGTTTCTCTAGCGGTTATACATAGGAAAATGTAAACTCCAAGTATCCATAAATTTTGTTTGTCAACACACTCATATGTGATAATCATGTTCTTATGTCACAATTATTCATATGTAAGTTACAATTAAGTAATAGTGTTATATACATGAAAAATGTACATTAAAATACATCCAAACTATGTATATTAGATAAGGATGGTTTATCGAAAAAGCATACGCTTGACATATGTTTAATTCTCTTAAGGCACCTAATTCTTAAAGTGAACTTCATTATAGTTTTAGTAATTTACATACTATCAAGTGGACTGTGTTAACTTTTGAAAGTTACTGACAGAATGTATCCATTAAATACTTCCTAACTAAATTATGATGACTGGAGAAGTATTTGCACTTCATCGAAGAGTGAAGATAAGCGAAAGTAATTTCGAAGTAAGGATATATATTGCAGAGTAGAGATGAAAATGCTCGGAATATTAGTGCAATTTAACTACTTATCTTTGTTATTGAAACTGAAAAAAGAATAAAAAACGAAATTTAAAATGGAAGTATACAAAGCTAAGCATATAAATTAATCTTTTATTATGTTATTGCAGTAAAGTTAGGGAAATTTATACATTTAATATGTTTTACCTTGAACTCTCTGGTCACGAGACATCCAATAAAGTACACCGCCACGTCCGACTTCATTACTTTTTTCAGGAAAATTGTCTGGTCCAGAAAGATGCCTTATTCTTGATTTACAGAATTTGACAGTCCTAGCAGATTCTGCGAAAGAAGTGCGTTTATTATGTACCGATTCCAGCCAATCAGGAAATGTCTTAGATGATGGCATTTTATTTTTTCTCTGAAATGTGGTAAGACATTGTAGCAAGTTACTTGAAGACATTACTACAAATAAATCTATTAGGTAACAGCCAACCTATTATGTTGATAAATTTCAACATGTTTATTGAGAAAACACTTATTTACAGTAATCATAACACTTATTTACTCCATAATGAAAACAAGCATTGTAACCACCATTACACGTGATTATTTGCTGGAAAGTCACTTTTACAACTAATAATGCCAACTGTTACTTTAAACACAACGGATCTGAACAAGTTTAAGTTGACAATCCACTGTTTGAAGATTAAGTACATACAGCTCTCAACCAGAGTTTCAAAAGGTAGAATTCGTAAGACTAACCATGACCAGTTCACACTACAATTGAGGAGAATATCTTATTTGAAAATAGCATGGGGAGGTCTAAATACAAAAGTATCCATGTGATCCACCAGGTAGATCTTTCTTCCGCATAATTTGTAGTTATATTTTGTGCTTGTGATTTGACTGTACGCCATCATAACGATTCTGATTTGCCATAACTTGGCAAAGAGCAAGTCAAACTATAGCAGCTACCTTGATCGACCTCACCATGAATAAATAATCGGAGCTTAGGAAATATAAATATCACAAAACTGTTAAGATAACGCGTTTTGAGGTCGATGTATAGTGAGCTGTAAATTGGTATACCTTACATTAAAAACAGGATTACCTAGTTTTTATTGTAACTATAATTAATGAATGAAGTTGCATAAGCTTCGGATTCTGGTTAGCAACTTTTACTTTTGGATTCTAAATTAGTCGCAGTGTCTCTAACCGTAGTTTGGGAACCCTCAACCACCCTTCAATAACAGTTAGAAGTGAAAATGTCCGACAGTTTTTGTCATGGCACTCTTGGTTATTATATTCACCTTTTACTGTAACATAGGACCCACCACGTGAATAGACACAGTAAAAGGTTTTAAATACATATGCAGGCAACTTTCACATAATTATACCCCGTGGAATGTGTATATATGATAGCTGGGTTCTGGAAGACGACGAAGAGTGACGTTTTTATGCATAACTACTCAGTTTCGACCCATTCGCATCCATCAAGGTGATAGGTAACTAAATAGATATTCTATGTAAGGTAATCTCGCATTAAAATTGCGAGAGTTCGTTGTGCAAATCTTGACCAAAACCACCTGAATTTTCTCAAAACATTTCATTTGAGGATGCACTAAGACAGGTTAGCACTGCTCCCTCTCGGTTTTAGAACTGGCCATCCGATTATTCTCCAGGAAAGACAATGACAACGAAGTGCTTAAGAAACCTCAATCTCACCAAGGACGCAATTTAGTTACCTCACTTCTTATTTCTACAACAGGCGCCTTCAAGTGCATACTAAATATTTGAGATAAAAATTTTCTGTCATATAAACTGCATGTCATTTAAACGCAAAATAAACAAACACCCTAATTTGCAACGTGATTGAAAAATTCATATTAGTTGTGCGAACGCTCACTAGTTAAAAAATTCGACTGAATTAAGTCAATTTCCGAGTTCCAATCAGTGATGTTTCAGATCATGTGAGTAAATCAAATCTACTCGCTTTCTGAAGGTCAATTGAGGCCGTTTAACGTCGCGTGACTTCTATAATTTTCAAGGTGAACAAACACTTGATCAAAACAAGAATCTATTACAGAAAGAATAACTGCAAATTAGACTTCAAGCACGAAAATGTGGTAGAGAATGTATCAGATACAGATTTATTGGTTGAGGATAGAAGGCTTAGAGCCTATGTTAATCCTTTTCTAGTAGATTTCTGTGGTTGTCCAAACCCTTCTTGAACGAATCAGTTGAGGTTGCAGGCACCACTTCTTCTGGGATTCGGTTACAAGAGTTTATGACTCGATGTGAGAACCAGTACCGTCCTTGGCTTTTGAACTCTCCTGCTTTGTCCTCTAAGGTGTTCCTACCTGGTCGGAAGGAAAAGAGAGAATAGGTCAGATCCGTAGTCATTATTTAGGATTTTAAACATTGTGATTAAATCTCCCCTCTGCCTACGGTATGACAGTGAGAAGAGATTTAAACTGTCTAGTCTTTCCTCGTATGATAAGTTAGCTATGCCGTGAACCATACGTGTTGCCTTCCTTTGAACACTTTCTAGAATGTGTGAATCCCCTTTTAGACAAGGACTGGCGGCCTGGATGCAGTTTCCCAGTCTTGACCTCACCAGAGATGGAAATAAGGAAGTGAACATATCTCTGGTGATTCTAGTAAAGGCTCTGCGAATTGCCCGTAATGACCTGAAACTACGTGCAGCCACCGCGCGACGGTGTGCTGTAGTTTTTTAGTCTTGGCTAACTATGACACCTAAGTCCAAGTGAGCCTGAACTGATGGAAGTGTTATTCCCTCTAATTTGTAGGAGCTTAGACTTGCCTGTTCAATGCGCATGGTGGCACATTTTGCCACATTGATCGGGAGCATCCATTCAACGGACCACTCTGACAATTTGTTGAGGTCCTCTTGCAACGTGGAAGTATCACTGTTGCCCTTCAGCTCTCTCCAAATTTTTAAGTCATCTGCGTATGGGACCATAGGGGAGTCGGTGAGCAGAGGTAACTCATTGATATACAGAATAAATGGGAGAGGACCGAGTACCGTGCCTACGCTACGTACTGCTGTCCAAGAAGAGAGTTAGGAGAGATAGCTTGAAGATCGTGGTCAAGGGGTCGGCTATGTGGGCTGATAGCTCCTTGAGAAGACTTGGATGAAGATTATCAGGACCCATTGAATTCACTTTATCTAGTTGCATTAAGCAGTTGAGCACGATGCCCTGGTCAATGTCAACGGAATCTATCCCATGTTCTTCTGATACAGCCAGAGCTGATCCTATAGGCCATGTTGTCTCCTGAGTGAAGACTTGGGGGAAGTAGTTTGCCATTCCTTCTGCTTTTTCTTGATCTTCTCCGATTGTATCAATGTCAGTAATCAGGTTTGGGACACCATTGGACGTTTTTCCTGGAATTCATATACGAGAAAATTTTCTAAGGTTGTGCTTTTGCATTTTGAGCCAGGTGTGCCTCGAGCTGCATCCTTGATCGGCGGACTTCTGCAATAGCTTTATTTCTAGCAGTGTTATATAATTGCCTGGTCTCAGAAGTCTCAAGGTGGCAAACAGGTTCCAACACTTGCGTTTACGTCTGAGTAACTTACGAATCTCTCGGTTTATCCGAAGGGGCAATGTTTCCGACCACTTGGAACAGACCAAGGGATAAAAGGTCCGGTTACTTGGGCGTAAAGTTGTTTAAATTGGTTCCATGCGGCTTCTACTTGGGACTCTGGGTTGATGTACCAGTTCACTGAGTTGACTGCTGAGACGATCTCATTTATATCAGCTTTCCAAACGTTTGGTCGAGCTGGGGTTTCGGCCCTTGCTGCCGTTGCTGCATGGTCACTTCTTCCTAACGGAGGAAGATGTTGTATGGGATCCGCATCCTCACCGTGGGAGAACACTAGGTCCAGAGTTGAGGAGGAGTGCTGTGAGTCATAGAGCGTGGGCTTAATGATTTGTTGGACTAGGGCTAGCGATAAACTAGGTTCTAGCAGTTTATTATCATAGGAGTTGACTGAAGATGGAGTTGTTAGGCGTTGAAGTCTCCGACTACGAGACTTCAACATTTCGAAGTCCAGGAGCCTAGCTTCTCTATTAGGAAGTCATCTGCACTGCAGTCAGGACTGCGATACACAGCAACGAGGTCAATGTCTTGGCTTATGCATTTAAGCCTGCAGCTTAGGAGTTCGCACGACTCACTTTCGTGAGCGAGTGCTCCGATATTACGCACGGTTAAGCATTTCTTGAGGCAGATGACTACGCCACCTCCTTCGCGGTTTAGTTGGTCCACCCTATGCACTTCGAAGTTTGGCAGGTTAACTTCGTTGTCAGTGACATCGAGTGTGAGCCACGTCCCTGTGATAATAATTACATCCGGGTTTCTGGAGTGTATCATGTTAACGAGCTCAGTCATTTTATTTAACAGGCTGCGGGCGTTTGTGCAGCAGACTGTTAATTCAGATTGGTGCTTCCCCGGTCTACCCACAGAGGTTTCGGCATCATTAAACTGCGAACTGGGACAACCCAAAAACTCTTAACCTTAAGGTTCTTCTCGCCGTTCCGGCGTAGCTCGCTCAGTTCTAGTGCCGCAGTCTGTCTTTTGACACGGTCTGCTGGGCTTAAGTCAGCGCGGACGTATATCATTTATCCTTTAAGAATATGAGAGTTGCTTAGAATAGCATCCCTCTCTTCCTTAGAGTTCAGTACGACTTTGAGGAGACGTACAGGCTGGCTTACTGTAGGGTCAGGCTGTTGGCCTATCCTATATACGCTGTGCATAGTAATGCCTGATACTGTTTGTGGCAGTAACTTGTCTAAAAAGGGCTTAAACAAGTTAGGTCATGCTCGAATCTGGCCTTAGGGTCGAAGGCCAGTGACTCTTCAACTTTGTGGAGAAGGAGAAACCTGTCAAAGTGATCATGTTTGCTCGCCGTGGCATTCTTGATCTGCGACGTAAGTGTGTTTCTGTCGTTCGTCGGCGGTGAAGCTAATGTGTCATCCTAATCTTCCTGTCAGCCACGTCTCATAAACCGTTAATGCCCAGCTCTTGCTACGCTCGGGCTCACGCTGTTCCTTGCAGTTTTTCAGAAACGCCTAGTAATAACGGACGAAAAAACCAAAAGGCCGATTGGTGGCTCGAGGATTCTTTATTGTTACACCAACATATAAATCACGTATGGCTAAGGTCTGTGAACAAATATTACAATAATAAATCACAATATTACTTCTGATGGTTTACTGCTGACTTCTTTCTGAACAGCGACCGAGGAGACGATGACTGTCGTATTGATGCCTCCGCGAAAATTGGGGAAGTTGGTTTTGAGCAAACAAACAAGAATTGATCGTCCAATCTTCAACTCCATTGACACTCCCCGGGCAAAATACGGATCCATCCCTCCTTTCCATCACGACCAATACACGTTGACTTGGATGCCATTGCGAGAATCTGGGTCACACGGACAGAGCTGAAATGGAAAACAAACAGAAAAGCCAACACACCACAAGCATACTCACAGCACAATCTCACACATCGCTGACGACCTCCGCCTCCAGATAAAGGCATCCTCTTGACACATCCTCTTGAAACACAATCGCCACTTGCTAGAATGACTCTTGCAGAATGCAACGTGACCATAGCACCAACTCATGATACTCTACGCACATCCTCTTAACTACTCACTACCAATTACCACTGCGATCACTTGTCACTCATTCTGCCTCAGTTCTAGCAGCGGTGACGCATGCGAGCCTCAGTCGTTTACACTCTTTCTCCCCGGCGTGTGGGACCGCAGCTAACAATTATCTCCGTATGCATTTCATTCTCAGCAATAGTCTAGCCTCCCCGAGTATACGACCCATCTGCTGTCCTTAACATCAATCAATTCATTCATAGATGTAGAAGACTAGAAAAATCTACAGAAGTAACCACGACGTAAATTTTAACAAAATTATGCAATAAAAACAAGGTACGAAAACAATGAGAAAACGCAATGAATCCAAAAACCACCAATTGATATGACACACCACACATATATACAAACAGTACAAATAACCTCGCAGATCATGTTTTGGTGGAATTCCATTGAAGAATCTCAGGACTTACACCAGTACGCCTGCAACCCTTCTTATGTTGACGATTGTAAGTCGTAGAATGCCCGGACACAAACAAGATTAACCAACAATTACAATAATTGGAACTCATACAATTATTTAACGCAAACATATGTACAATCAATACATCAAATCTTGTGGATTCTGCCTTGACGAACTACCCTTGAAGAACTGTAGGACTTACAGCAGTACGCCTACATTCCTTCTCAGGTTGATGATACAAGTGGAAGTCGTCCGGACACAAACAGAATTACCAACAGCTAGATGACAAATGATATCAATTCAGTATATACAACATGAACTTAGGTACAAAATCACACACAAAGCACATTGGACTGCTCATTGATTCGCTGCCCTTTGAAGAATTGTAGGACTTACAGCAGTACGCCTACAACCCTTCTCGGGTTGACGCTCTAGGTTGGAAAATCGTTGCAGAGTTCATTTTCTGACTTCCTTCTATTAGCTATATCCTCAAATCTCAACGGCAACACGCCCATGTCATTGTATCGTAGAATATAGATTACCAACAAACACACGACATATCTCATCAATCTAGTGTAGAAACAGAGTAATTTACACCAAAGATAATAAAATTCAAATAGTAACTTGAAACTAGAAATGCCTTTATTCATGCAAGTCAATTTAACAACTACTCCCTCGTTTACACTTGGCTTATCCTCACTAAACTGTACATTGAAATTCGTCTTTTCAAACGAACTGATACTATCATAGTCATTGCACAAGATAGTTGAGTTGATGGGCGTGTTTCATTGTGGATGACAGCACCAACGACGACTGATTGATATCAAGTGTTGGTTTGTAGGGATTTGATTGATTTCAGGATTTCATCATGAGCTGACATTGGTTAGAGAACCATTGGAAAACCTGGGAGTACTGGACAGCAGCTGAAGAGTCCCAAACTAGGACG